AATCTAACAGATATGGTCTAAGTTTTAAAAAAGGCTGTTGGTACTTGTTAAGAGTTTTGGACACCCTTTTTATGTGAAAGTTGTGAAGAATGGTCAAAATATGTTTGGATGTTCAACTTTTTAGTGTGATTTGTTTTAGAAGTAAAATTCATGTCATTAGCTAATTCATGAAAAGAGCTTTTTGTAGACATCTAGATCACAACATTTGGACGTCGGACGGAAAATCAGGGCGCATTGGAAGTTTCTAAATTCTGCTATCAAATGACAGCAGAATTTACTGATTTTTCATGCAACACAACACAATGTATGACATAAAGAGCAATACGCTGCGACACAACGTGCATGAGCCATAGTGCATTTCCCTGTTTCACAACATATGAGTTGTTTTTCAATCATTTTCAATTTCTTTCACTCCTCTAAAGTAATCCATGCTTTCATAACTTATTTTTACTCTAATATAAAAAGTTATAATAATTTTAAACTTATTTTGATTTAGAAAACTTGGGATCCCTTAAGTTTGAACTAAAATTTGGTAATTACCTTTTAGTGTTAATCTTTTGATTACCTTAAGTCTTATTAGTTAATTGTATTCAGTAAAGTGAGAATTTACAATATTACTGAACTTAAAGTTTAAGAGATAATTTACTCATTTATCCTGAAATTTGTCAAATATTCTGATTAATATAATATTAGAAGGCCCATTTTATTATACTCCACCCAAGTAATTAATGAGAATATTTTAAATAAGTCAAATGTTATATTTATTGAAAATTTTAAGTATCTTTTTTAAAAATATAAATTAATTATTGTGGTTCGTGTGCATTGTGCTTTACAAATTTATTTTTTAAAATACAAATATAAATTTTTAAAAATATACTTAATTTAATATAATTTTATTTTCAAAACATTAAATAGAGAGAAAAAATATAATAACAAAAAATTAATTTAGAACAAGTATAATTAATAAAAAAATTTGTCTAATTACTTTATACTTTGGGACATCAAATCACTTCAAACAAATTTTTATAAAGCAAAATGAGTATTTTAATGTGTATATAATTTGGAATCAAAATAATTTTATAACCATCATTCTATTAGAAAATAATTTTTTATGTAAAAAATGTTAAAGCTAATCATTAAAATCAATTTTAGACAATGTGGATTTCACACAATTGCTACTGCTGCTGCTACATGAGCACCGAAACTCAACCTTAGAACTGAAAACCATAAGGATAGGGTCTTTGGGATGGAAACCTGTGAGTCTGAGGTTTGTTGACATAAAATTTGCGGTTCAATGTCGAGGCGATAATTTGGACAATCCCAATGAATTAATCTTGAATAAACTTAAAAAAATTCAAAGTTAGACTTGAGAGTTTAGAATATTTTTTTTACTTTGAACTTATATGAGTTGTTCAAATAAAATTAGAACAAACTTGAGCTTGAATGAGCTTAGTCCAAATATTTCAAATTCATTTTCATTAATAATAAAATAAGATAAAAATAAGATGAAAATTGAAAATATTAATTTTTTAAATGAAAAATGAAAATAGATAAAAAATAAAATAGTATTTAATAATTCTGGCTAGCTCAAATAAACCTGAAAGCTTGAGGGGTTGGGGGGCAAGCTTGATTATATGATCTTTTTATATGTTAATTAGGGTATTTTAAAATTGATTCAAAATAAATCTACTCTGAATAAATTTGACTCATCCAAATTACTATTTCTCAAACATGACTCTATACTATTTGCTCTATGCTATATCATACAGTTCATGTCTACATATCCATTCCAGTGGCTAAAAAATTATCTGTACAATATCAAATGTAAAATGTATATAATGAAATTAATAAATGCTTTGTTTATAAAATGTCACGTGGCAAATGTGTATGTAATAATTATAATTCTAATTTGATAAAAAATTGTATAGTATATGTTTTGCTTATGTTGTGTGAAAATAAATCATATTGTTCATGGGATATAAAAGTTGATTTTATACATGATATTAATATTAAGAATTTAGTCAAAAATCTTGCTTTCATGTCATGCATAAACTAGTTAATTTATACGTTTAGTACTCTTATACTTTTAATAACTAACTATTTAATCATATCATGCCACATAAGCATTTTTCTATATTGAGAACAACGAGAGAGAAATATGAGCATGGTTTGTAAAAACCGATCGGATTAGCCAATCAAATCGGAGGTCAAGCAAGTTGGGCTGTTATTTTTTTTATTTTTCTTATTCCTAAAACAACCACCATTTAGAGGTTTAGAAGATTAAAAAAAAAATTCAAAAGCCTACCCTTATCCTCTCCTTATGTAACCAATCTTCTTGCCTCTCATCCCTAGCCACTCTCTCATCTTTCGTTCATCGTCCTACCCCAAACATTCTCCTTATTGGTTGAGCTTCTTAACACTAACATAACTTCAAGCTTCGACGACCTTCTAGGCATTCCTGACAACTTTTTCATGACCCTCGTGGGTCAGTGGGGAGCCTTTTACCTTCTTGACCTTCACCTCTGGCAACTTCTTTGTTACCCATGAGCTATAAAGAAGAAGCAAAGTGATCAATTTAGAGAAGGCTTTGAACTAGCTTCTCAGCATGCTTGGAGAAGAAAATGTAAAAACAGGAGAGGAATGAAATTGAGAAGAAAGAGGGCAAAGAAGATCTTTTGAGTGCTGCGGTGTCTTGAAAAATGAAAATGGAAGAAGTGCATACTTATAGCAATGTGAAGAAGAAGAGTGATGAGAGCATGGAGTGATCAAAGAAACTTTTTCAAAATGCAATGTTAGAAAAAACAATAATAAGAAGGGGAAGAGTGGTCAGAGTATACCTTCGGTAACGTGAAGGGGCAGAAAAGTTGTTTTACTCTTCAATGTTTCTATGATATAAATTATATTTTTTTATATAAGATGAAGTTGTTTTTTTTAGGAAAATTTTTATCTTATATTATTTTATTATGACACGCTTGACTCTGATTTGACCCCTAACCACTGACCCCTAATCTCAATTGATTTAATAACTGATTTAATTTTCAATACCTTGACATGAAGAGAGAAGCGTGCCTCAACCTAATGAATGAATGTTTAAACTCAAAAAATAGCATGGGCCCAACAATTGGGCCCAGTGAGGGATGAGGGTGGGAAGCCCATAAGATGGAGAATTTTAATACATACATTAAACCAATCAACATCCAAGAGTACCAAGTCACTGAAAAAAGGGAAGAAACAGAATGACATCACAACTCACAAGACACATGTTTACTCACAAAATATATCCAATTCCTCAACTTACCTACCCAAATTTGATTGAGTGTTTCAATGACACTAACTGCTTTAATGATAGAGTAATACTTGCAGTAATAATTGAATGTGCTAATTAGTTGAATGACTACATGTGTTTGATGTTGCCTGAGATTACTTCAATTGTGATGATTATATTCAAAAATTTACCCAAATTATTAATTTTTTTTATGATCTATACACTATTGAATTCATGAACACTATCAATTACTCTAGTTTATCTCCTTATAAACTTACATTGAAGATAGAATCACCAATATTAATGTCGTCAAGGAGAATTGATCAAGTATCTAATTTTTATAATGGAACAAGATTACATGTTACTCACCTTGAAAAAACCATCATAGGAGCAATAACAGTGAATGGTTCAAACAAATATCATAGAGTTCTTATTCATCGTATGAATATAAATTTTTCTGAAATTAGGTGGCCTTTTTGCATGTAACGAAAACAAATTTTTTATTACACTTTCATTTGCTGTAATGATTATCATGAGTCAAGGCAATCATTAAAGTACGTTGACGTTTATCTGCCAAATCCGGTTTCCACACGTGGCCGATCATTAAAGTATGAGGGTACTTTTGAAAGTTCATGGTGATAATCATCATCCAAAAACAGCTAATGTTGTCTGTGTGGGAGGTATTTCGGTTCTTGGGATAATAAATTTGCTCACTTAACAATGATTTGAAAGTGTAAGTTCCAGCCATCATTTTTTATTGTCAATCCATATTTGGTTGTCTCTGACATGCATGTTCTAATCACATTGATCTGCATTATGTGCAGGAATACCCAATGGTCTTATATCAAAAATCATTGAACAGACTTTAGTGCTGAACATGTATTTTCTTTCGTTTTTGTTCAAATCAATTGGACTGATGTAGGCTATTGATTAATTCGTTATCATGTACATGCCTCATTTCTGAGCAAGTGTAATTGCTGTGATTGACTGAAGACTTGTTAATCTTGGAGTAGTGATTCTATAACAAATTGCTGGTGGATAAATACGTGACTTCTTGCATAGATATCCTTTGGAGATGCCTATGTAATACGCCAAGCAAAGTATTTGTACGGGGAGTCAATGCTAATTTGAGTACAGGATAAGAAAGAAGGATATACCTGGCCTTAATTCTAACCTTCCCGGCTGGCTCTGAAGCTGATCGAGTGTTTATCTAAAAAACATCACACTTAGCTTGAAATCCCTTGTTTGTTTTCCGGGGACATCCAGTGAAATGTTTTGGTTTTTATTATAATAGATAGAACCCGTGGTCTGGTCAAATTTAATACACATATACACGCACGCATGCACATATGTATGCCTAATGATGAAATCGGCAGAGACGATAGACAAAATGATCGGTGCACATATATGAATAACACGAAGAAAATCAAGAAAGGTTAAAGTGATTTTCTTAAATTAAAAATAAAAAATAAATGGAAAAATATTAGTACACACAACTCTTGTTAAATTAACCTCAATTAACTTGAGAGTGACCCTGCTATATAACAGACTACGGAGTTAAATCCAGACTCAGGCAAGGACGCATGTCGGTCTGGATGAAACCTGATTAATCTGCACTTTCCACGTGAAATCCAAGTGAGACGTTGTGATGAAAATTCCAATCAAGGTCTGACCACGTGTCTCGTAGTCCCGAACCCTGGCTTACATCCCCCGCTCCTGTGTGGCACTTTGAAAGCCATGCACCGCACCACCATCCTCCACGTGCCTCCCATGCTCACCGAATCACCCTGCACTCAGCTCATATACCCCCCGCCCTCAACCCTTCTCCCCTTCTTCATCTCCGTTATCATCAGAGAAAACACCCAAGAACGACGCCGCTTATACACTCCCCATGATAAGCCCTCCATCCTCACCGCCATGGGAAGCCCTTCTCCTCGTCGCTCACCACCTTGATCCCAAAACCCTTGCCATTGCCTCCTGCGTTTCCAAATTATGGTCCATTTCAATGTCCTCCGACCATCTCTGGAGACCCATCTTCATCTCCCACTTCCCCTCTCTCTCCACCCTTCAACACGCTCACCCCACCGTCTCCTTCCGCCGCCTCTTCGCCATAGGCCGTGCCGCCTCCAAGCGCCGCCTTCAGAACCCTGCGAAACCCAAGCTTTCCCTCAATGACCTCCTCTTCGTCATCTCCGTCTCCACACCAGAGTGCCGTGTCTTTACATTGATGGTCCCCGGCGACGAGATGGTCGCCGATCCACACGGCTTGTTCCGATTTGATTTTGAGATCTGCGAAAGCGAGTGGGTAAGGGAGGGTCTGGAAGAAGTGAAGGTCACTTGGAATGTGATATTGGAAGGGTGGAAAGAGGTATTCTGCATGATGGATAGCGTCGGGAAGTTGGGGTTTCAGGCGGGTGGCGACTGTTGGTTTTCGGTGGAGCTTCCGACTCCGGGATGTTGTTCAAATGTGGTGGCGAGCTCTGTGGTGGCGGATTTAAAATTAGGGATTTGCAGTGGGAAGGAGAGAGATGGGAAGGTGAGAACGAAGAAGGTGACTGTGGGGATTTTGAACATTATGGATTGGAGATATGTACGCGTTGAGGATGGCCTCAGGTATCTGCAGCATTTTCTTAACTGTGATTCGTAACGTTTGTCATTGTGTAACTTGAGGAAATGGTCTCAGGCGCGCCCTTACAAAGCTCAAGTCTTAACCTTTGAGCCCAATCACTGGTGAAAAAAAAAAAAAGCTTATCGAGCTCAATCAATGTTTGAACTCTTGTTCATCTTGGAAGCCCGTGTTCATCTTCTCTTTTCCTCTCCTTCTTCAATATAGGTTCGTGCAAGTTTGAAGTCTTTTATAATAGTTTTTGGGCCTGAGAACCTTCTTATAGTTGTTCGCAGGACTTCTCTTGTTGTGTATCTTTTGTTGTGGCCCCGTTAGTCGTTCACTTTTTCGTACTTCCAAAAAGTAATCACTGATCAGCATTGCAAATGTTCGTAGATAGCCCAATTGGGTAATCTTGTATTGTAGGCCAGTAGACAGTAGTTTTGTTGATTTCTTCTGTGTACTCGGGGCCGCGCGCTTGTGTATAAAGCGAATTGGATAATATCATCGCCATCGTGATCAGTCGCTCCGTCATTACCCTCAGTCTCTCATAACAATCTCATTCAGACGATCATGATCTAATAATGCTCTGATGCGACACTTAATATGGGCATTGTATGCGCTGTTAAAATTTAGATTAACAATTTAAATAAATTTACTCTGTCAGTCAAAATATAAATTTATAACTATTTTTCATGATACAGTTATGTGTAATGACAGTTAAATTAACATAAAAATTATAAACCCTCCATTCTTTTAACCTCTGGGCGGTGAGGTCTAAAAAAATTAAATTAATTATAATTAAATTTTTGATAAAATTTTATAGAAAATAAATTGTAAACATCAATTCATACAATTAAAAACAAAAATTATTTTTATAATCTAAAAATTATATTTGAAATTTAAATGTTTATTTACAATTAAAAATCCAAAATTTGTTATTATTTGGATGGATATTTTTAGCTTATTTTTTAAAAACATTTGTTGAGGAGTTTGCTACATTAATTTAATATTGTGAAACCTAACTGTTATTTTCTGTGTTTTTTTTTCTTATATTGAACAAAAGGAAGATATGATACCCTTTTTAGCTTTACCTTCTATAAAAGAAAATTACATTTAAAATTTAAATGTTTATTTACAATTAAAACTCTAAAATTTATTATTATTTGGATGGATATTTTTAGCTTATTTGTTGAGGACTTTGCTAACTTAGTTGTCATTAATTTAATATTGTGAAACCTAACTGTTATTTTCTGTGTTTTTTTTTCTTATATTGAAAAGAAGAAGAAGAAGATACCCTATATTAGCCTCGCCAACCTCATAAGTGAATTTCGCATTTCATTCTAGAAGTCTTGAAATATAATATTCTTGTTTGCAATTGGAAAAAAGTCACGACTGTTTGGTTAAACTTTCCCGAAATTTGACTTTAAATTGAATTTATAATCCTGACTTAAAAGGGTATTAATTCATTACGCCTTCTTAACCTACGAAAGAAATGTGGGGGGCCATAATTATTCATGCACTCATGACCTCAAACTAGAGTTCACTGAATTTCATGAAAAATATAAAGGAAAAACAATTATTAGTTGTTATAGTTTCAATGTATTTTAATGTTGGCTTTTATAATTTTTTTTTCCATTTCATATCTCTCTAATTTATTTCGTCTATAGTGATAATTTTTTTTGAAATTCAAAACAATGATGAGATAACATTAAAAATATTAAATATGCTAACATAAGATTAACACTATTAATTTGTACTAAAATGGAATTATGATTCCAATAGATTGAAACATAAAACATAAAATAAAATGAGGGTGGACAATGCTATGCTAAATCATAATTTCACCCCACGAGTCAATATATTTAACATTGTGTCATCTCATCATTTTTTAAGAATATTAAAAAGTAAATGGATTAATGTTCTAGATATAATAAACTAGAGAGATATTAAATAATGGGCAAAACAACGATAAAACATCTACCAAAACACTTTAAAAATATAGTGATTAATATTAATGTTTTTCTCAAAATATAATCTTCCACGTTTTTTATAATAGAAAAAAGTAATAACCATTTAGTAGGCTAATTATTTCCAGAATTTGAATTTAAATTGACTTTGTGATCTCAACCTAAAAGAACATAAATTGATTGCGTTTATAAAAGAAATGTAACTCCAAACTCCTGTTTTTGAACATCATGAAATATAAATGATAAAAAATAGGTATTAATATTTATGTTTTCCTCAAAATATAATCTTTCATACTGTTTAGAAATGGAAATAAAGTTAAAACTATCTAGTAGGTTAATTATTCCCAAAATTTGATTTTAAATTGACTCTATGACCTCGACTTAAAAAGATAATAATTCATGAAAAACAAATCCAGCGGAAAATACCAAGCGCTAGAAGGAGGGCTTGAACCTCCGACCTTGTGGTTAACAGCCACACGCTCTAACCAACTGAGCTATTCCAGCTTGCTGATTGAAGCACAAAGATCTTAAATAATCTAATCAATTTAGCAATAAAGCAAATCAACGACAAAACGGCCATCACAGTCCTTCTGCTTCAGGTCCAACATATTTTCAGTTTCGAGTGGTTTTACACCTTTCCCAACGCGCCCGCAGATGTATATTCATGCACTCCCCCTCCTCCTTCGGTAACTTCTCATGGCGGGTCTGCAGTCTTCAGCGAGGCCCACCACTTCTTCCTCCTCTCAGGTCTCGACATCACGTCTCCTCTTACTCCTAACCGTCCTACCCTTGATCCTTGCTTCCTTCGCTTTCGTGCTGCAATGGAGGGGCGGTCTTGATGACCCAGTCACCCGTTGGTCACCCGACCACCATGAGTTCCCTGGCATGGGCACTTCGGCTCCTTCTCTTCAGACACATTCTTCCAGTTCTGATTGCGTCAATGTTCTCGGTCTCAGCCATTCGCCTGCCTTCCCCTATTACCGAGACTGGAAATTTGATTATGGGTCTGATCTGAGGCCAAAGGTAGGCGTATCTGTGAATTTCGACTCATTTTGGTCGATGGGATTCTAATTATTATCTACTGTCCGTTTATTGGGGTTAATAGATCTCGTGGCACTTTCAAATTTGCTGCGTTGTTTGTGGAAATCGTTATTTCGCTCTATGTTTGTTGACTTTGTTGATCCAGAATTCTGATTGAAACTGTATTCCATATGATCATTGGGGTCAAAATTGGCTGGTGTATTTGAGTTATTGGATCTGCCGCCAGGTTGTGCTTATTTGGGTTTCTTATTAGAGCACAATTTTGCGAGAAAGTAATTGACTTCTAAGCCACTGTATTCGAGATTGCTCGTTGAATTTGTGATGTGTTGCAGAGTACTCTGGATATTTATACCTATTGGAGATTGAATCCTCAACTTGTGATATTGTGAATTGCTTTTTACATTTTCTAGGTGTCTATGTTATATGATTGATGAATCATGTGAATGAATTGTGATGATTTCTGTCTAAAATTCCATGTATCGCAGATATGTATTACGACAAGTACTTCTGCTGGTCTAGAGCAGACTTTGCCATGGATCTTCTATCACAAGGTTATTGGTGTTTCAAACTTTCTCCTTTTTGTGGAGGGGAAAGCTGCCTCACCAAATGTGTCTAGAGTTTTAGAAAGCATTCCGGTGAGTCTAAGTGATTTTGTGTTTGATGTTTTGGCATTCACCTTGTCGTTCGAATTGGTTGTCAAATTATTGTACTCAACTAATATTGTGAGGCATCCCTTACCACAGGGTGTGAAAGTCATATACAGAACAAGAGAATTAGAGGAGCAACAAGCTAAAAGGTCAGTGCAATTTCATGTTATAGTGTTATGATACTCAGACACTGTGGGCTATGCTGTTATTCTATCATTGTTCTTTCAAGTAGACTGCAATGCTAAATTTTTTTTCTTTTTGTTTCTTTCTTCTTGGATATTGAGTTTAACACATATTTGATCCATTGGGTTTAATTTTCTATTTGTGTAATTTATTACCATATATATATATATATATATATATATCACTGGCTAAGACTTGGATGTGAGCTGTTCAAAAAAGTCTTTGCTATTTATTGTTATGATTTCAACAGGTTTTTCCTAAACGCATTAGTAACTAACTATTTGGAGAAGATGAGATTGAAAATTCTACCCAGTGGCCAGTAGCCTACTTTCATCCTTGTTTCAATTTTTTGGTTGAGTTATAAAATCATTCTTGAGCCTTTGCTTTATAGCTTAAACTTGATTGGTGAACTGGTTCTTTGTTATTGTATGCAAGTGTGGTTAATTTATTGTCTAGTGTTTTATATTTATCTATCACTTGTGACATTTTTGTAATTAAACTTCCCAGTATAAACTATTCTTGAGCTTGAGATTCCACCAAGCTTGCACTTTGTCCACTTTCAAAGGGCAGTTCTCCCATTGTGCTCCTAAAAGTGATAAATCTATCAATGATTCTTTCTTAATAGTTTAAGCTGTTAGGTTAAGTTTTTCTAAGTAATTTCCTAAAACGAGTGCATTGATAGCATGACTAATACCGTGTTTGCAATTTTACATTCTTTTATAATCAGCCGGATATGGAATGAATCTTGGCTGGCAAGCTTCTTCTACAAGCCTTGTAATTATGAGTTGTTTGTGAAGCAATCTTTAAACATGGAAATGGCTATTGTCATGGCAAGGGTAAGGATTATGATTTCTATAATTAAAGTATGCAGTCAGCATAATTTCATTATTTTAACTTATTGATAATCATATTGACACCCTCAGTTTTCTTTGACAATACTTTCGTTTTCAGGATTCTGGGATGGACTGGATTATCCATCTTGACACTGATGAGCTGCTACATCCAGCAGGAACACAAGAGTATTCTCTAAGACAGCTGTTGTCTGATGTGCCTGGGAATGTTGATATGGTTATTTTTCCAAATTATGTGAGTGATGAATTTTACCTAGATCTGGGAGTTACTCCAATAATGTTGATATGAATCATTTATATCATTTAATGGGTAATTGTTTCAGGAGAGCAGTGTTGAACGAGATGATATCAAGGAGCCTTTCAGTGAGGTATTTCCTTATTTATTTATTATTTAATAATTGTTTCAATAAGCTGATTCAACCGATATCGTTGAAGAGATTGCAAAAATGATGTACTTTTTAAGCCTAAAATTATTCGTGTATGGGCTATCAGCAGTTCCATAGCTTTTGTGCCACACTCAGGGTTTTGCTAAGGGATTTTGAGGCCTAGGACGACATGAGTAAAGAGGCCTAACATGTAATAATTTATTGATCCTCATACTTTCTATTTGACATTTTTTTACCACTAGAAATAATAAAAAATTAATTAAACACTGAGTAATTGGTATTTAAAGAAATAAAGCTTGAATTGAAAAGGAACAAACATACATAATGGTGAGTAGTACAGAGACAAAAACACAAAGCCCCTACTCAATGGTGTATGCCCCAATGCTTTGGTTGGATCCAAAAATATAAAAAAAGGTGTTTGATGATTGATGTTTTCTTTTTTTAGAATAAAAACAAGAAAAGACGGAAAAGTGGAAGAGTGGAGACGAAAAGTGAGAGTTAGAGATGTTAATGCTAGAATGGGAATTGTACAAAGAGAATAAATAATAATTAATGGTCAGGCTGGGTCCAACCCAATAATTAAATATTATTTTGAGTATGTGAAAAGGTTTTCAACAGGAAAAAATTGGGACTTTTCTTTTTTCATTTGGCATTTATTACATAATGGTACAAATACATCTATTTAATCTATACATACCACGGGTATTCAAGGCTTTTTTGGGAGGCCCTAGGCAATTGTCTTACTTGCCTATGGGCTCCCATGGCCTTGGTCACACTGCATGGTCAAGAGCAGTCATAATTCCTTTGATATTAAGAATATAATTTCTTTCTGGGTAAATAGTTGAAACAACCTCTAGTAAGTCATATTCTTTGAATTTAAAGTGCTGCCATGGTTTATAGTACTCCTAAATTCTGGTTAACTTTTATTAATTTTTTTTTTAATTTTAAGAAAAGAATAGTTTTTTAAAGAATTAAGTGCTAACTCATTTGGATGTGATTTGTCTAGAAGATACACACTTTTTACTTTCATAATTGGTACTCCCTCTGTTTCTATTTGTAGGAGAAAAAAACTATATCACATAGTTTAAGAAAATCAGTTAACTATATTAATTGTGTCTGAAAGTAAAAGAATTGGACTATAATACCTTTTATTAATTGTGTTAATCAAGTCTTCATTAATTGTTTCTTATGATTATGAATGATAAAATTATGAGGTGTAATTTAGGAAGTTTGCAATAAATGCTTATTCAAAAATGTGATTTTGCTTATATAAAAAAAAAAAAAACAAGCTAAAATTGGTAGTTTCTCTTATGAACAAAAACAGAAGGAGTATTTAGTTTTGAATGCCTTGAACTTTATTTTCCACAGATTTAAAAATATGTTTGTAGCAGTTTCTTGGTGTTTTTTAATAAAAGAAGAAGAATCTCTAGTGGATGAATCCCCTTGCTGCAGATCCTGATTTTTAGCACGTCTTGCACCCTTGAGGATTGCAGTCTTCTTTTTGTTGGCCGTCTTCAGTAGTTTTACAACCTTTTGAACCAGTCTTTGTTAGTGAGGGCAGGTTAAAAATAAGTATTGTATTAATTGATATAACTTGCTACTGCCATAGGTCTCAATGTTCAAGAAAAACTATGATCATCTTCCGAAGGATGTATACTTTGGAAATTACAAAGAAGCAACCCGTGGTAATCCAAACTATTTCCTCACTTATGGAAATGGGAAGGCAGCTGCCAGGATTCAGGATCATCTCCGTCCTAATGGTGCACACAGATGGCACAATTATATGAAGACACCAAAGTATGCTAATTCTGCATTCATACTTTTATAATTTCATGAGCACGGCTGCACAGGTGCATAATGTATGCATTTTTGTATGTCATTTATAACTGTTAGTTGGAGATATTTTTCATTTCAACTGATCAATTTGATGAGCATGCATCTGATAACACGTGTGCATGGGTGAATTTACAATTCATTATAGTCAAAGGGGAGATGTTATTGTTTGTAATTTTGGAGAATAATGACATGATTCATTGACCCACCTGGAGGCTGACCATCAAGGTGATATGTTGGTGTTTTTGTTGACTGTCAAGCACAATGTGATCTGTTGATCTGATTTTAACTGGTCTTGCCATCCTACCAGCAAATTAATTGTTATAGTTATCGTCATATCCATACCAATTTGTTTCTATTGTTCATTGTCCTGCTGATAGTTTGTGGAATAAGTGTTTAATGCTGTATAGTTAATCGGGTAGGGTATATTGTTTCTTCCCTTATTTCATGCGTTAGTGTATGCCAATTCTTTTACAGTGAGATCAAGTTGGATGAAGCTGCTGTTTTGCATTACACATACCCCAAATTTACTGATTTGACTTCAAGGCGTGATCGGTGTGGCTGCAAACCTACAAAAGAAGATGTTAAAAGATGCTTTATGTTGGAATTCGACAGAGCCGTGAGTCATCATTATCTTTCACTTGCTCTATTTGCTTCTACTTCTACGTACCACCTCTTTCATCTGATATTTTTTGGGTTTGTGATGAGTCAATTGTTATTTGTGGTTGCACTCAGCTATTCTAAATATTTTGTTAAACATTTACCGTGAGAGAGATTTTTCCTTTCTTTCTTTCTTTTTTTTTACAATAAAAAAATTCTTTGCTAGGTTAACGTTTAAATTTGTTCTAGGTGCACTCAGTTTTCATGGGGCATATTTAATTTTCAGACTCTCCCCACAGCTGATCCCCCTATGAAAAACGGGTCATATATCCTACCAATAACTGTTGTTACATGCTCAAGTTAATAAATTTGTTGTAGTTACAAAGATGAAAGGAAAACATTTGCAGTACCGGTATAACTAGAAGGAAATTTATGTTTGTAATACATTTGAATTTTCTTCATGGTTCTCGTTTCCTAGCCAATGCTCAAATAGCCTCCACCAATTTTTACTTCCTTGGTGGCTGGACACTTACCTAAAGGTGTCTGTGATGTTTTTACATCATATTTGAGTTTATTATTGCCATTTATCATGCTGGCTGTGGAATAATTAGTAGGTGGACGAAGAGAATAGTGGACATTGTTTTTGCACGTAGTCTATCTGTCTGTCTAGCCTAATAACTCTGTCATGCTATGTCTAATGCAGGCTTTTATTATTGCTTCTACTGCAACTGAGGAAGAAATGCGTCTGTGGTGAGTATCTCTGGTAGAGTACTGATGGAACCCTCTACTCTATTAAGCTTAAAAATAAGCAAAACCAGAAAATACACTATAAATGTAACTAACAATTACTGTTGCTGAACAATAGAGTGGGATTACAATCAAAATAAAGACTGAAACTACACTCAGATGGCAATTACAGAGCATGAAACAACATAAACTACACCCTCTGAGCAGCAACACGAACATTGGTCTCTCACAAATACAAACTGAAGTAGAAAGATAAAATGATGAAAAAAAGATGATCTTCTCCACCCTTAATCTGGCAGTCGAGAGGCCAAAACTCTCCTCACTTGATCACAATTCTCCAACAGTCCTCTCCATCCCTCATCACGGAAGTACATATTTAAAAAGTCAAAAAGTAGTCATTACCCCTACTGACACTACCCATATCCTAGGCTACACCTAACCTGACTTTTCTTTTATCATTTGAATCTTACAGTTATAAACATTCAAATAAACCTCTTGACCACTGGTCTTAGTCTTCTCTAAATCACCTCCCTGTCTAGATTGTCTACTGTAAGCCTTAGGAAATGATAGAAAATCTTTTGGGAATCACCAGCTCTATCAAGTACCAATTTCTCTCTCTCTCTCTGTTTTTTTTTTCCTGGAATGACACTGATTCAAATTTCATGTAATTTTTTTTATCCGAGAACTGAGCTTTTTTTAGCGTATAATTTGGCAACCGGCAACTATATATATGACATGTGGTGTATTAAATTCTGATTCTTTGATAAATGTATTTATGAATTTGGGTTTGGAGTCACAAGGAATTATGTTGGAACTTCGTGCCTCTGGTGCATAAATATAGTTCATAAAATATTATCATATACTGTAATTTAATGGAACTTCAAAGGATACAAGAGGTGTTCGTATAACGTGCATTATTTCTGTGCTATTTCTTTGGCATACCCTCTCCTCAAAGTTGTGCAGTTCCTAACTTAAAATTATGTTCATGGGGTGTGTTTATATTTAGCTTTAAATCCAATTTATTTTCCTGAATTATGACTTAATTCCATTTCATTTAGGTATCGAGAACGTATTGTGTGGACTGATAAGACGCTTAACTTGAAACTTTTGAGGAAGGGCATCTTGACTCGTATTTATGCTCCCATGGTAAGTTCACTTGCTTGAAGCTTTCCTCGTAGTTATCCTTGAAGTATGTCTAAGCATGTCCAAAATGGTATTTATGCTTGCAGGTTATCATTCAAAGCCTGAGGGAATCTGGCGTCTTTAGCTCTGTAATTGCAAAAGCCTCTCAGGCAACCATAACAAAAGACAATTTCTTAAAATCTGTCGAGAGTAGTAATTCATCTAGGACAACCCCGTCAGGAATGATTTCCTCGAGAAAAATTGGTGCTGGTGGCGAATCCCAAGCAACTGCAAGAAGAGTTTTGGAATTCATATATGATTCACTCCCCTCTGCGATACCACCATTATCTCCACCTGGCCCTGAGATAATTTGACATCATTACGTATTAGTTTTATCATTCTTGACTCCTTGCCATCGCCAGAATTTATTGTAAAGATGGGTCAGAGACTAGGATTATGGCAAAAATTGAATATGAAAATGATAGAATCATTTCTTCTGGCCGTTTGATGGACGTTCCAGTTCTCTGGATTAATGGGGGTTTTCCCGATCATTATCCAAGCGCGAATGTAAATTTGCGGTTCAGATTATAGTCATCGTAGAGGAAGCATACAGAGCAGAGTTTTCATTTTTCTACAGCCCCTACATGATTCTTTATTTCTCATCCTTCCAATTGGTCGCCTTGTCATTTCTCGTCCTCTTAATCTTGCGATTGTACTGGTAAATACTGTCGTACAGTGTTGATTTATGACACATTGAGAGAGACGAGGTTGAACAGCTGCTTAAGATATTCTGCCCTGGTTGGATGTGGAGATGATTATACAATAAATATAGTGTATAGCTATTTTTTCGCCTTTTGACATTTCTGTGCTTTTAAATTGAGTTTCTGAATAGATGTAAAACATTGAAAGGCCTGCCAACATCTTTAGTTCTTAACTTCTAGAGGAGTGTCATCTTTCTTTTGCTGCGGCTTCTTACCTCTTACATTAGAGGGACTTAGGGAGGGTTTTAAGCATATTAGTAGGTGTACTGTACGTCTTATTGAACTAGTTTTTTTATAAAACAATGGTAATTTCATGATAAAATAATATCAGAGTTGGATCAGGTTTGCCCAGTTTGGTGGGCCTTTTAGTGGGTCCCCCATGGGGATGGGGGTGTAACAAATTGATCAAGGAAAACTGTACATCCTATATTGGAAAAACTTGAGGAGGGCTTGATTATATAAATGGGTTTGATGCACGCTTTAGAGCTATTTTTTTTTTTTTAAAAAATAATGATTCCATGACATGTTAGTTTGAAGCTTTTCAAGTCTTTTACTTTAAAGATTGAAAATAAAGGTCATTTACTCTTTTTGAAATTATAAAAATTAAAGAATTAAAATTAAAACAGGGATAAATGGGGGGAAAAAAACTTGCGAGCGAGTAATTAGTTGCACTTGACACCCAGCGCGAATGTTTATTTTAGGTTAAGAGCTTTCCATAATATCCCGCGTTGCTTTGTGCCATTTCTGGCGGTTTCTTGTTTCTCAGTTCAGGTCGGTGCTCATCTGCGCATGTCCCTCCCAACGTTTGGCGTGCCCATCTACTCTATTTGACGGATGAAACAACTGGTGTCTAGAAATTGTTCATATCTCACCAGGTTCTCCTTTGGTTTATCTTCAGTTTCCATATTCGAAGTGTTCGTTGTTGCCGTAGTTTTTTGTGGGCAAATTGAATCAGAATAATCTTATGCTTTTTCTTTACTAAATGGTTGACCTGAAACTGCAATAATAGTTCCAAAATACCCTAGCGTTACTGATTACTTCAACTCCAGATTTCATTTTCTTAGAATCGCCTTCGCATTACTAGAATTTTATATTTTATGTTCCCCTAATTAAATAGTAGGGTTAATGGGAGTTATCGAGTTTGTTGGAATAGCTGAACCGACTGTAAAAACCGTAGCTTTGCAGGGGTCCAGAAGCTGAATAGTAAGATACTGGTTTGTCCAAGAGTGGAAGCAATGAGGTCTAAAAGATCCTTCTCAAATTCACCAGAACCTGTGCCACCAATTGTTGAAAGCAAAAAAAATAAGAAGCTTGAAGTATTGCGAACGAGCTCAAGTTCTAAGAAGCCTATTGTAGAGGTGCATATAACTTGTTTTTCTAATATATGCTTCGAAATCCTTTTTTATTTTGTCGGCTATTTATTATAAGCTGATAACGTAGGAAAACGAATTCGATAGCTACTCCATTGAGATTGAGAGATTAAAAAGTGACCCGGCCAAGATAGAAAAAATGACGGTTCAGGAACTACGGAATACATTAAGGTAAAAAATTTTGGGCCTTTCATACGCAGTACCAGGCACCGGCTGTTTCAATTCTTTTTTGAAATATAAGAAGAAAGTTCCTTTGACTTAGAAAAGGTTTTGAATTCTCAGGATTGTTAAGGTCCCTGCCAAAGGTCGTAAAGATGATCTTGTGTCTGCCTTGAAGTCTTTCATGGACAATAAGATGTGGGGTATACAACATTGCTGTTAATTTAAACTGTCGTGACATGAACCTCTTGGTCTGACAACTTATTGTTGCTGGGGAAATGGAGCGAATGAGGATGGTTTACCAAACATTATGAACTTCAAAGCTTGAATCAGACTCTTTTCTTACTCATTACTTTTAGCATTTCTGTTTAAAAGCTGGCTGTATTATTCCTTTGGTTAGAAGGTCTCTGCATGTGCAGGACAAGGTTCTCAACTAACAGAAGAACAAGGGCTATTAATTTCTGCTGATAGCACTTCAATAAGTTTGAAAGCTAAAAAGCTATCAGATAAAGGCACAGTTGATGATATACAGCTGGGATCTGACGGCAAAAATGTCAAAGTGGCGACCAAGAAGAAGATGGCAGTGAAATATGAAGAGGTGTCAGGTGCTCTATAATATATAAAGTTGTGTCTTCATATTGAATTTGAGCACGCTTCCATTATTTGATTTCAATACTATCATCCTTGACTACTTTCTTCTGACTGGTAACTTTTGGTTTGAAATTGATCAACGGAGGCTTAATATTCTATTGGATTTTGTAGCCAGGTTTGAAACCTTCCCGGCAAAAGAGAAAAGCATCTGCAGACATTGTGGGTGATGTTGCACAGTCAGAACAAGTCAATGCACCCATTGTTTTAACTGAACCATGGACTGTTCTGGCACACAAGAAGCCACAGAAAGGATGGATTGCGTATAATCCTAGTACTATGAGACCTCCACATCTTACTCGGGATACAAAATTTATCAAGTTTTTGTCTTGGAATGTCAATGGATTGAGAGCTTTATTGAAACTAGATGGATTTTCAGCCCTTCAACTTGCCCAAAGGGAAGATTTTGACGTGTTGTGCTTGCAAGAGACTAAAATGCAGGTGGGGTATATTCTGCTCAATCTATATTTTGGTAGAGATATAATTATTTCTGCCATCATCCAATTTTAGATACGCTGGTCCTAGTGCTATAACACAAACTCACAAACAAACAAGTTTCCATATGATAGCAGCAAAGATGGTCTTTGTTGCGAATTGCAAAAGATTTGTGTTGTATTCATATCAGCATAATTCTGATATAGAGAGAAATTGAGAGAAATAGGGAGAAATAGAGAGAAGAACAGAGAAGGTAGAAGAGATAGAGAGGAATTAGAGAGAAAGAGAAACAGAGGGACAAGAGAGAGGGTTAAACTGAATGGCACACAAAGTTTATTGATTACAATTGATAGTATACAAAGTTTTATTGATTACAATTGAATTTTAGGGTATTTATGGAAATAAGAGTACCCCCCAATGGCTATTAACAGTCTACCTACTAACGGCTATGTCCCTTATAACTAACCAGCTAACAATAACAGCAACTAATATTTCAATATTATGATTATATAACAATGTGAATCATGATAAGTTGGTCCTGAGTTATATTTTATTATTTGCTCTCCTTTAAGTTCTACTGACCATGATAAAATCAGAAAATAAATTGGAAAATTTAAGATGCTCACGTTCTTCTCTATATGGGTGCTTTACTTCTAACAGGAGAAGGATATTGACATGATCAAATCCTCCTTAATAGATGGCTATGAGAACAGTTTCTGGACATGTAGTGTGTCTAAACTTGGTTACTCTGGAACAGCAATAATCTCAAGGGTATGTTAACTCTATCTCCATGCTTATTGAAAATTTACCTGCGTAATGCTAAATTCATGGTTTTATTTAGAAGACGGCTATTTTAAAGTAATAACCCATAATTGTATAATTTATGCAAGCTAAATTTTTTTTTTAAAATTGAAAATTATGTGGTGTGATCTTAAATGATAATGCATTTACATTTATCTCCCGGTAAAGCTTTAGGTAAACTTCTTCTATGACTTTGAGATTTATGGAGATGGGAAAAATGTATCTATATTCAATAGTGAATTGCAGAACTTAGTGCTGTGTGATATTTAATAATTTTTTTTTTTGTCAGAACTAAAGTAGATGCCTTCATAAACCAAAATTGTAGTCTGGCACTGTTGCTTAATCATAACTTCTGCTAAGATGGTTAAAGCCTTAGGTATTTTCATTCTATAAGATGGGCTAACTAATTTCACCTTATTTCATGTATTTCAACTATGGTGTTTACATTAGTAATGCTTCTTCTCATTGTTAATTTTTAATTGAAACATGGAATGACAGGTAAAGCCACTTTCGGTCAGATATGGCTTAGGCATACCAGATCATGATAGTGAAGGGAGAATCATAACTGCGGAGTTTGAGTCATTTTATTTAATTTCTGGATACGTCCCTAATTCTGGAGATGGCTTAAAAAGACTGGTACATGACCTTAAAAAGATTGGATGGCATTTTCCTTTTTGTTTCTAGATCTCTATATTTTTTTTCTTCCTTTTAATACAAGATGAGTTTCCCTGCCCAGTTAATTCTGCTTTTGATCCTAGTCTTACAGGACTACTCAGTGGGATCCATCTCTCAGTAATTATATGAAAGTATGTATCATCCTGTTTTCTTTTCTTTTCTTTCTCAATGTTTCTATTGCTTTGGTTATTTTTGTAAATTTGGTTAATGGTATACCCAGCTGGAGGATAGACATACTTATTCCTATTTATATTTTCTAGCAATATGTTGTAATTCATCAATCTCATAGCTGTACTTGATAATTGTAGATTTAAAAAACCAAGTAACCTTGTACCATAGCCCAACATGTTAAAATTATGATTTATTATTGGAGCAGTAAATTTTAGAAGCAGGATGATTTTCTATGTCGGAGTCTCTTTCTTTCTTAACCTATTCTTTGTGGGTAAATGTCCTTTATGTGAAATAAATCTTGATTAAACCTTGTAGTTGTGTATTGTATCTGTAACGGCTCATGGTTTTGATGTGTTGGATTCAGGAGCTGGAAAAGTCAAAACCAGTAATTTTAACTGGTGATCTAAATTGTGCTCATGAAGAGATAGACATATATAACCCTGCTGTAAGTGATCCAGACCTAATTTTCTCCAGAAAAAAAATGACTGCCGTGCTGTGGCTGATATGCAAGTCTTAGTATAAACCCACCAGCTGTTGTTTCTGTCTGAGTTACTGGATTTGAAAGGAAAATAAAAAAGAAAGGAGTAAGAGTGTCAAGGATGGGCTCCTGGTAAAAATATTCTCAGTTAAGAAGAAAACTTCTTTATACTTGGACTTTTTTCGAACATTATCTTTTAATTTGGTTGTAATGTTTCCTTTCAAAAGTGCTTTGTGACCAACCATGTTCAACATGCATGCTTCCTTTTTTTTTTTTTTTTCAGCTGTATCGTTGCCACATTTTTCAATTGATTTCTTGAACCACTTCTGTATACTTGGACTTCTTTCTGATCTATATTCTTCGAACCATTTATTTATATTTTATTAATTAATTTAATTGGCACCATTTTAACCACAGTTCAACTAGTAAACTGTGAAGATTGTCTTGATTGGTTCAATGACTGGTCTAGTTTTTATAATATTGGTTCTGATTGCGAACATATGTTCTACAGGGAAATAGAAGAAGTGCTGGTTTTACGGATGAAGAAAGGAACTTTTCACAGAAAACTTCTTATCAAAGGGATTTGTGGATACCTTCAGAAGGCAGCACCCTGGGGTAGTTGGATATACTTACTGGGGTTATCGACATGGTGGGCGCAAGGCTAACAAAGGTAATAATGGCATTCACTCTTAGAACTATTATTATATGCATAATTTGAAAGTTGTATAGGATGTTGCAATTGAAAAGTAGTAATTCAGTTGTTGAAATGTAATTCCAATATAATTGTTTTACTTATTCTAGCTACTTTTACTTAATTGCGCTCATCTGATTGAGTCCGAGGTCATGGACTAGTTGTTCTTTGAGGTGCCTCTAGATGGGCGAACCTTGCCCTAATCTCAAGGTTGCTTAGAAAATTGCTATTATTTGGATTTTCTTCCTCCGGGAGGAAAACATTTCATTTAGCAATTTTCTTGCCAAGATGTAGATTTATGCGTTAAATTCTTGGTTGCAAGTTCATTAATGAGTTGACACCCATGAAAAATAAACAATATCATCTTGAAGGCCTTTTAGAAAAGCTCACTCCTCTGCTGTCTCTTTGCTCTGTAAATTTAAAACAGGTGGCGATTGGATTATTTCCTTGTTTCGGAATCCATAGCTGACAAGGTTCACGACTCCTACATTCTCCCCGATGTAGCTGGCAGTGATCATTGCCCTATTGGCCTTGTTGTCAAGTTGTAGCCCTACTTAATCATCGTAGCTGATCTTGCAGTGGCATTGCCTAATTACCCAACCATGGATTTTATTTTTATCTTTTGGTTTTGTGCAATTGTTAATTACTGAGCCATGGTTTCCTCCAACACACCAGACCCATGCAGGGGTTTGAATGGTGTTTTTAATGGTTACATTTGGGCGCTGGACAGTTCATGTTTGTTATTTGAAATTGTCTTTTTTGCTTTTCTCACACTTAATGCGCCTCCACGCCCCCACACCCCCCAAAAAAAAGAGGAATAAAGTAGCATCCCCCAGCTCCCACCACATGCAAGGGAGACAAAAGTGATGCTCGTTAATATTAGAGAAGGAACCAGTTATGAATAAAGTCCCTTGGTCCTAAGATGTCACTTGAGCTATTCTTGAGATGTCAAACAATTTCGATTATACTCACGATCTCTTCCACCCGATAAAAATTTGGATGGTACTCACGCATTTCATGTAAAATGAGTTATTTCATAGCCATTCACGATAAAATTATGAAGAGGTCACTGCGTACTCAACTTGCTAGTTCTGCAATTAGCATTCAGACTTTCTTTAACAAAAATTCTAGAGATTCCTGCCGTCATGAACTGGCATATCTGCAAAGGTTTAGAAGTTTTAATTCTTGGTAATTTTTCCATCCCTTGTCCAAATGGCACTTTGGTACTAATCGCTCAAACATTTGGCCCCACGCGTGCACAGATCCTTCAGAATTTTTCTAGTGCTTTCTGATTATTCAGGATGGACACAAGTTACACGTGATTCCGGCCGTTTTCTACACAAATTCCATATTTCCATCGATAAACATACCAGAATAAATGTCCTTGACGTTGGGCAAAGGTAATGGCATCGGTTGCAAACATGTAGGCATTTGGCAGTAAATGCACTCTGTTACGACTATTAAGTATGGTACATTCGGTAGGTTCGAAGATTCTGGTATATTTCGTCATGCAGATGGGAGCATAAACAGATCCTGAATACAAGAGCAAAAACGCTAATTCTTTCAACCTAGTTCAACCCTTAATGGCTACATCTTTGGCCCTGTTTTGTCCAATGGGGTAATTAGAACTCACCTTGTTTCAAACCAAATTCTGAATCAAAATTGCTTTGCACCTCTCTGCCACTGGTTGGTAATGCTTTTCTGACCAAAATGTTTTTTGCAGACTCAATGAGCCCCAAGATGAATCTGATTCCGCAAATCAGGATTCTTTCAGAAATTGTATTCTGACCACTTGACCATGGTAGTTCAGTCAACACTCAACATCCATGGCTTGCTCACTAGCCATGTTGCTGGACCACAACTTAATGGTTCGATCATGGGAGACAGTAGCAATGTACCGTCCATCTGCCATAAGTAAGAAGACAAAATCAGACTAGACAGCACGAGTAGACAACAAATATTAACACAAGCCATCTGTCAAAAGGAAAAATATAAACACAGGAACCAACTGCTGTCCTGCTCACACTTTGAAGGTATTCATGTCAACACAAAACGAAGAGAACAAGGCACGTAGAAAATAACAAGACTTGTCACGCGGAACAGGCCATGAAAGAAAATTGTTTCCAACTTTCATCTTAAGCGTCCAACAGTCGGCACAATCCACTATATACTCGGGAACAAAAAATTTTTGCTCACTTTTCTAGTTTTTTCCTTTGGTTGTGGTACTCAAAAATAAAATCTCCCCAAGGCATGCACCTCAGCATTTTCAAATACAAAATTAGATTGAAACTTACATGCTTGGTGAGGAGACTGTCGTGTGAAATAAAAATTAGTTAAAGCCTTATTTTCAGAAGTTAAAAAGAATAGAAAATGAAAATAGTAATTCTTTCTTTTAGTCACTTTGATGATTGCAACAACGCATCATACTTTTTGTCATCAGAGGTAAATAATTAAACGCAAGAGCAGGTTCACACAACATATGTCCCCTGCTGCACTGCATCGCTAAACAAAGCCAAAATAAACCAGGTTTTCATTAGGGAGTTCCATTGAACTTTCCATGATATTCAAAATTGACCAACCAACTAGGTAGATCTTCAATAATAACTTATTTACATATTTGGTGGTGGAGACAAAAAAAGATAGAGGAAAGGAAAGCAGGAATGTAGGGGAAAAATAGAACAGAGGAGATAGAATTTAGTTGACAGCATCCTGGCAAATGACAGGCAGTAAACTTACCTCCAAGAACATCTAGAGAAGTAACTTTTGCTTCATGCCCAGATAAAGTTTTGACAGGCTTAAAATCACGAGCTGACCATACCTAGAATTAAAACCTAGGTATAAGAAATTAAATATGAACGAAGCTACTATGTAGAAGAATATTAAATGCTGATATTCAACAAAGCACTGCTACTTCAGGATGAATACCTTAGCTGTCATATCATACGAAGCTGTTACCAAAAAATAACCCTCATGTGGCTCAAATTTGACTTGTGATATTAAATTAGAGTGAGCTGGAATGATATACAAGGATTTCTTCTTTCTCAAATCCCAAATGCGACAAGTGTTGTCTTCGCCACCTGTGGCTAAATGATAACCATTGGGTGAAAAACTGATGCCAAGAACCTGAAAGAAATCGAAACCATATGTTAGATTATGCAATGCCAAGTGTGTGGAGCAATGATTTTCAGGGAGGGAAAGGGAGGCCAAGAGAGGGATTGGAGAGAAACTTCAATGTCTCACCGGCTTGACATGACCTTCCAGGGCAAGAATACTTCTCCCAGTACGAAGGTCCCAAACTCGAGCAAGTGAATCCAGTCCGCAAGATGCAGCTAATGATCCGTCATGGTGGAAATCTAAACCATATACACTCCTACTGTGACCTTCTTGGAGAAGCAACTCCTCTCCTGTTTCTACATCCCACAATCTCCATGTCTTGTCAAAGCTAGCAGTGCCCAGGTACTTCCCAGATGGATGGAAGGAAATGCGAGCAAGACGGTCAAGATGACCCTCAAATGTCTGTAAAAGAGATCCTTGATCATTCCAATACCTTGCAGTGCGGTCAGCAGAGGCCGTTGCTAAATGGTTATGCACAGGAGAGTAGGCAACATCAGTAGCACGCTCGAAGTGGCCCTTTAAGGTAGAAATTTTTTGAACTTCAGGCATGCTCCAAAGTTTCGCAGCTCCAGTCAGGGAACTGCCAAAATAAAACAACACCAGCACATTTTAGGCACGGTACAAGTAATAAGTTACAGCCCACAATTACCAGGACACCAGTTAAACATTTTGGCATGCGAAGAAATCCTTGTTTCTTTTATGTGATATTGGTGGTATTTACTCCTCTACACAGTAAGGAGATGGAAACAACATCAGATTCAAAGATCTGACATAATAGGAGCATGTTTTGTTGGACATTAAATAATCCTGGACATGATTTTGCTACCTAAATTCACATTCAGTTTCTTGTGAATTCAAAAGCGATCTTGAAAGTCGCTCTTAGTGGCAAAAAGCCAATCAAAATGGCACTCAATCTTTTACAGTGCGATAAAATTCATCAAAGCTGCTCAAAAGCAATTGAGAGCCTATATTTTCTAATAAGCAAGCTCTATACACAGAACTAGATTATACTATAATGGATTCAAATGGAGTAGAGAAACAACAGTTTTACTGTTCAGTTTGTAGCAAAAGCATACCAGGTAGCAAGCCATTTTCCATCTGCTGAGAAGGAGCAACCAGAAAGTGGACGATCATCTCCAATCTCACTGCAATCAAGAACCAAGTTCTCTGCCTGGTTTAACGCCCAATTTATTTCCGCATCTATATCTTCATCTGGATCATCTCTTCTTCTCTGAGCACGATGCAGACGTGTTGCTGCTCTTACTAAAGAAAACTTAGCAATATCAACTCTGGCATCCAGGAGGGCCTTTGACCCTTCAGTGTAAAAGGGATACTGTAGGTCTTCCTCGGCTTCATCTTTGGCAGAAGAAGCTGCGGCCTCTTCATCTTCATGAGCTTTCATCAGTTTTTCCAGCTGACCTTCAGCATCCAACTTGGCCATAATCATTCGCAACCTATCTCTTCTCTCCATTTCCCTTTCACCGAAGAGAGTGATGGGTTCACCGAGACGGCGAAGACGAGCCCGCACAGCCATGTCATTTGTAGGAACAGCCAGAGCAGCAGCGCGCCTCTTCATCATAAGTTCCTGCATTGCCTTTTCCTGCCTTTCTCTTACCACTCTACTCTCTTCTGATATCTCATACTCCCCCGTACCCTTGTTTATCCCGGGTCCTAAGTCATCATGATCTGAATCTGAGTCAGTTGATCTAACCTCACCATTTTGCGACACGGGTGGCCTAATAGAAGGTGGACGAACAGGAAGTGGTGCCAGTGGGCGGAGAGTAGTGGAGGGAGGAATTGAAGGAATTGGAGCAATAGGAGGCACAACAGATGGTGGAACGACTGTCGGAATTACAGGCTGCACCGCAGGAATAGGAGAAACCATGCTTTGAGCATCAGATGTTGGTACAGAGGTTTCCGTAGAAACAGTAGAGGTAGTCTTTTCGTCCTCGACTTCCATAATGCCTGGCCAATAAACCAACGAATGAAAATTTTTAATTTTGAAACCAAACTAATTCAGGTGCCACCAACGTCATCTCCCGCAAGTTTCAACATCTAAATCCAATACATTAACTATACAAGTATACATTATATAAAGGACACTAATAAACAAGCTATCACTCTCTTAAAGATAGCTAGAAAGGAAAAGAAGACAGTTTTGGAGGGATATGAGATCTTCACAGGCCTGCGCCGTATTCCTCCATGTTTCGAACATGCCAACAGTGAATTAATCATCAAGCAAGAAGAAAAATCCCCACTCAAGCTCAACTCCAAAGATCAAAAGGAATGAGAACCAAACGGTGGTTTCGAACAGAAATATTGGAAGTGAGGGGTCACCTTAACTCGTCGGAGCAGAAACTGGCGGCAGTTATGGCGGCAGTGTAATTCAACAATGGGGGCAGCTACGACTGGTAGGAAAGAAGACGGATGTGCGGTGACGAGGAACTGGAAGAGACGTCGCAAAACGAGGGTTTACTCGGAATGAAATAGCTAGCACGGTGCCTGCGCCCACCACGTCAGTCTTGTATAATTTTTATTTTTTTAATATTTAAATTTAGGATAATTATAACTTTTAGCCTATATTTTTATTTTTTATTATTTTAAATTTTTTTAAAGTCCTTATATTTTATTTATAGAGGAATAAAAAATAATAAAAAATAAAATATAAAGATCTAAAATATCAAAAAAAAAATATAAGGACTAAAAATAAAATACAAGTAAAATATATGGATCAAAAGTTATATTTATCCTTAAATTTATATAGCTGGTCAGAAAACAAATATATTTAAATTTATGTCAGGATTTTTTTTTTTACATTCTGGGGCATAAAAAATATAATAAATTCATGTAAAGACTGATAAATTTCATAAATTTTCTAGCAAGATAGAAGCTCCAAACTCTCTTTACAACGCTGGTTAAAAAGAAAAAAGAAAAACTTTTTCTTTACAACGAGATATGGAAAAATGAGTTCATAATTTATATTTTATTAATGATGTAATTATTATAAAGAGGCTTCATATTTAAGGCTCCAAAATTATTTTTATTTATTTTTAAATTTTTCATCAACCTTTATTTTAACTTGTGATTCTTCAAATTATTTCTAATCAATGAACATATAACTTAATGATATGCAAGTTTTCCTATAGATGAAATGCCACAAGTTCAATCTTGCCTATGCTCTTAGTAGTACCTCCCCAGTAATTCAAATTATACCCTAAGTTTATGTCAAGATATGATTTAAACTTTAAAGGGTGTAGATTACAATTTTTTTTTTTAATGCTAGACCACAAAAATCGAGGTAAAATTCACGAAGAAAATTATGTGATTTTTCATTGGATCTTAAGAATTATAAGGTAACATATATTGATAATATTGTTATTTTCATTGGGGAAAAAAAACCGCCTGCTCTGCCCTCGGATCCTAGATCCACCACGGGCTACAAACGTTATCAATGTCTTATTACATGAGAGTATTACTATTCACCAAATTGGCTATCATGAAGTCCCGTTGAGTGAAGATACAAGAGAACCAAATGAGTGAAGAAATCGAGAAGTTGATGGCGGAAAACAAACGGTTCAAAAACTCCAACAGCTTACATGGAGATATAAGTTCCGGAACAAAAAAAAATTAGTAATTAGCAACTAAACTTCCCGCTTTGAGATGGTCAGCAGCTAGTATGTATGAAACCGCAGCCAACTGTTCTTGAGATTCATGTGATATCTCTTCCTCAATTCCATTACTAGTGGATCGTTCATCTTTATGTTCTGGCTCAATCTGCTTGTGTTCCTTCATTCCGGTGTACATTTTCCTTCGCAATTCCCTACGTGCTTCCCTTTCAGACAGTTTCAATTCTTGAAAACCCTGTTCAAACTTCTGTTCATCCTCTGGTGAAAAGAACGCAACTTCCATCTTCCCAAGTTCCTCGTACAGCTTCTCGATTTTGGCTTTCCAGAAGAGGCCAAGTTCTGTGTCTAACTTGTGATATGGAGTTTTCAGGAAGTATTCATCAATCCCACCTGCTTTGTCAATGCAACGAAGGGCATGGGTGGTAACCTTAACACGAATGTGGCGATCCAGGATATAACTGAAGAGTCGTTTCTCTTGGACATTAGGTTTCCAAGTTCTCCTTGTCCTGTCAGCACCATCAGAAAAAGAATGAGTATCATTTGGCAATAAATTTTCTTTTCCTTCATTCTTCCAATAGAAAAATTTGAAGAGTTAAAAACGACGCACAAAATTGAGCATTCAAGAGACAATAAGCTATATCTGACCTCAGGTTACAGAATTAAACCTGCTCTGGATTGATATGTTCCCAGAGAGGATCAAGAAAATTATTGCATGCTGAAATATAGGAATCCTAATTCATATCTGATCTAATCCATGAAAACTGCAAAGGTACCTCAGCAGCTAGAGAGGATCAAGAAAATTACTGCACGCTGAAATATAGGAATCCTAATTCATATCTGATCTAATCTATGAAAACTTCAAATGTACTTCAGCAGCTTATTTATCCATCAAAGTTACAAATTGGTCCAAGACAGATACATGTCGGTCCAGGAGTGTTGGCCATAGATCACATGTATTGGCAATCCACATATGGATGGACTGATGCTGCGACAATGTTAGATTAGAGACATAAGCGTGCTGGTAAATCGGATGCTTTAAAGTTCAAACTCAATCAAGAATAATCACCGAGTCATTTCAAGAAAATTTAGCCACTGTTATCTCTGCTTGGAGAAGCCCAGGAAAACAATTTATACAAATGATTGCACCCAAACTTCTACTTTAAGTGTGATTTTCCAAATCTGGACATGAATTTGATTCCAATTTCCAGATGAAAGAATGGGTCACCAACAAATCAATAGCCACTCTCCACAACATCAAGGGGGGTAATCATGATATTCCTTGCACTAAGTCAAAAACTGATTAGCTATTTGACTCTTACAGCTTTTAATTAGAAAAATTGAACCTCATACCATGAGATAAACTGACCTAAAACAGAAAAATACTACAAAACTTCAATGGGATTGATTACACAAATATAAAATATCATTCAATAATTTGAATATATCTTCTCACTTTCAAGTCTCTATTCAAATCAACGCGCCATAATGGTTAATTTTCTGAGGAAGATTACTACTAAACTGTAAAGTTTGAAGGCTGAACCACCTCCAACACCACGCAAAACAGAACAACACGCATGTACCTGATCCATATTCTATTACACATGGGAGAACTGTCAATATATATATTAGCTATAAAAGGGAGAGCTGTCAATGTCATTTACTAATCACCATAAAGCTGAACTTTGGTTTGTCTCCTTCTAAATTTCAATAATAAAAAGTTCAGTCTGTAAAATTTTTAAATTTCATAACAGAAGATATTGACTCTGGTATCAATTCACAATTACTGAAGTGATTGCAGGTTATCATTAATCTTCTTAGCGCGCGCGCGCGCGGGGTATTGAACTTCTGGTCTCCACGCACCACGGCACTGGAATCTCTTTACGAATTATGAAAAGATTATAACAGCAGCAAATTAGCCAGCCGCATGATCCCATTCCAAAAATAATAAAGGAATGGAATCGCAATGGGGTCACTTGTATTGACACGATTGCGCAGACACCACCTAAGATACCATTTGACATGGCAGACGAGTTATTCGGTTCAAAGTTCAACACTTCTCCAAATCTCATGACATCAAATTACATTTCGTACTTCAGGAAAAGGATGGTAGGTTCTGCGGTTGAAGCAGTTAGAGCAAAAAGTCAAGTAATGAATACTCTTGAAGCTTTAAGATCTACCAGGTTTTCGCAGAGCTAAAGCGTCAAATTTTCCAACATAAATCAAAGATAGCTCGAAATCATGGGCATCAAAGGCTCAAAGAAATGGCATGTAGTAGTGAGTACAGACTTGTTGCCGCCACCTTCACTGACACGGTTGCCAAACTGGATGTGTCGGCCGGCATAGACACCGCGTTTCGCGCGACCCATGACAACCTTGTTTTTGGGCATGTATTTCTCCAGAGATTCCTTCACTCCAGGAGCCAAATTATGCTCTCCCACTTTCTTAAGAACTTTCTTCATAATCTCCTTCCCTCTGAACGCCATTTTTCGTATCAGATTAGCAGAAACCTCTTCGATCCCTGTCTCTGCATACAAAAGGCCTGAGGCGGCCAAGGGTTTAGGAAGTAGAACGACAAACCTTGTTGTCGTTTAGAACCTTTTAACAGCTATTGATGTACAATGTATTTAGTGTTAAAGTTTTTTTTTTTTTTTTTGCTATTATATATAATATAAATAGGAAACCCGAACTTATGTTATCTTTTATGTGTGTTATCTATATTTCTACTCATTTTTTGTGGCCAACTTTATTTCTACTCATTAAATTACATGTCTAATAAATGATTTTTTTCAAATGTCATTTTTTAATGAATATTGTGATCTTCTCGTGCATAATATATCTTGAAAGTTAATTAGCAATCATTTCAATTAAATCAATTACTGGCAGGCAGAGAGAGAGATATCAATTCCATATTAAAAAAAAAAGGATCAATTCAATGCAGTACTTCCCCTGTTCTAAATTATAGTATGCTTTTAAAATAGTTTTTTATTTTAAAATAAAAAATACTTTAAATAAATTAAAGTTTTATTAAATGTACTAATTCTAATATTATCATTTCTCTCTCTATAATTAATTTTCATCTCTTCTCTTTTTAATATGTTAAATGATGGGTGTTTTTGAAAGTTTATATTTTGATTTTAGAAAATAAAATTGTTAAATATATTTAATAAAATTTATTAATATATAAAATTTTATCTAAAAGTGTCTTATAATTTAAAACGAAGAAAATATTGGATAAATCATGTTCAAGAGCTTTAAATTAAGCCATCAAAATTTGATAAAATTTAATGATATGTTTGGATTGATTGGGATTTTAATTTAAATTTGGACCAAATTTTCCATTTGGATGCACAAAAATTTTTGGATTTAAATTTGATTCAAATCTAAGTTTATTTCTTATTTTAATTTTTTTATAGTTTCAAATTATTTCTCCATTCCAATCATTTAAAATTTTAATAACTTCAAATATTCTATTCTTTTCATATTTTTACTAATGACATTCATATGATTCTTGTATTTTGTTATTGTTTATTATTGATTAAAAAATATAAATAAACTCTTTGCTTTTAATTTTTTATTTTTTTAATCTCTGCTCATCTCTTTTATTCTTTGTAAATTTTTTAAACTACTCATGTAAAGAATTTTAAATATATGAATTTAAAATATAAAATTTTAAATCTATAATTCAAATTCAAATTCACCAATTCAAAAATCATATAAGAGAAATTATTTACCATATAATTCATACTCTATTCAATAAAAACACACACCAATCAATTAAATAAAATTAAATGTATCATTATTTTTAATGATTTTATTGTTGAAATAAAGTGTCTTTTTAATTTCATGTATTTTCTTTCTCTGTGACTATCAATGTCATAATCAAATTATATTTATAACCACTTAACATAATATGCTTTTATTGGACAAAACATGAATGATATAATGCATAGGATTGATGCAAAAAAGATTTCAAAATTTAAACTAGTAAAATATCATAATCAAAATATGGTTAGACACCAAAATATAAACATGTCTCTCAAAGAAGACTCAAACCTTAGTTTATAATATTGCAAGAGATTAGTCATCTTACTAGACTCAACTTTAGTTAGTGTTACTCATATAAATACTTAATCTGTATGATTGCATTATTTAACACTTAAGAAGAATTTTTTAAAAATATCATCCCGTGCAACTCACTGGATAAACTAGTGATATGTAAACTCAATTCATAGCGACGAATACGGATCTGGATCTGATGTTTTTTTTTTTGCTGAAAAAAATGCTAACGTGGCATGATGATCATTGCTTCGCCATGTTGTCAAGTTGGTGACGTGGAAACATAGAATTGCAGCCCGCCATTTTGTTTATGATTGCGCTGGTAACCTTCAATTAGTAATTAGTAATAATTATCACATCAAAGACTCCCGCAAGATGCATCGAATGCTATAAATATTATAATTTTTTTTTCAATGAAATCTGTGAATTGGAGATATGTTAATATGAATTCATGATATATCTAATTCCCAAACATATTACGGTGTGCCTTTCATCGGCCTCAAAGGAAATTGATGGGCCTTGCTGTGCACTTTGCATCTACTTGGTGAATACAACAGTATATATGAAAAAACACTGATCTGAGAGATGACAACACTACTAGTAGAATGAGTAATGACCACTTAAATTATAAGATTTTGAGTTTGAATTTGTATAATTGTAAAAAAAAAAATCTTTTAAAAAAGTTATTTTTAATTGAATTTGATAATATTAGAATATCACCCAATTAAATAACCGCATCAAAGAACAATAATTTATAATTACTTTTAATTGCAACCACACAATGTTTAAATCTTATCAAGTCACGTAGCCAAATAAAACATACTGATAAGCAAGGACAAAGAGGGATCCATGAATCTTTTATGACAAGCAGCTGAAGATGCTGTCAAGGGATATTCGAACTGTAACATCTTGCCATTCATTGTAAACGCAAAAGTGGACCGATTAATGCCGACGAAATCCTGTGGTGCTTTCTCTGTACGCTGAGCTTTCATCCGGCACGCTACATACATTGTTCTGATCATTGCGCGCAATTTTCTTTAAGGTATATTAAATATACAGATAAAAATAATAATTATGCAAACTAAATTATCGGAACCTGTACCAGTAATTTTACTGCTTATCTAAGTAACACTTTAATTTGTGATCCCAAATAATTACAGTATATACGTGGAATAAACTCCAATCCAATCACCTACGGACAATGACATGCAAACAATGCGTGAGTGTTTATGCACTTTTGTTAAACTCGCCCAAATTTGGTCAAAATATGGAAATGTTTTTTATTTTATATAAAAAATAACGATAAAAAAAAAGAAAATAGGAAATTGCTGAAAAAAGTTACATTAGCCTCCTAGTCTTTATCCGTCACCTGCAACCTTTCTCCTTCTTCTGCATTTCCTCTGGCTCGGCGGCCATGGAGAACTGTAAAAGCCACTGGACGGCGCTTTTAGCAAGGTTGTTTCTCTCTCAGCTGTTCATCGTAGGAGCAGCAGATCACTACCGATACCGAGCGCCGCGAAACATCAGATTACTGCCAGATACAACGCCGGAGAGGTTTCTCGAGATGGTCGCTGGGCCGCCCTTCAAGATAGCTCTCTTTGCCGACTTACATTTTGGAGAGGCCGAGTCCACCGATTGGGGTCCGCTTCAGGACATTAACTCCACCAGAGTCATGAATCAAGTGCTTCGTGATGAAATGCCAGGTGAATCTTTCAACAAGAGAACGAAGTTATTCGTGATGTCTAAAATTCCTGTCCCAAAAGCTAACTTATTTAATTGGTGGTGCTGATAGACTTTGTAATATATCTTGGGGACGTCATTACGGCTAACAATATAATAGTTGAAAATGCAACCTCGTATTGGGATCAGGCAATCACGCCGACCAGAAACAGGGGGATACCATGGGCAAGTGTGTTTGGGAACCATGATGATGCTCCATTTGAGTGGCCACTAGAATGGTTCTCCTCGCCTGGAATCCCCCCGATTCGCTGTCCTCGACCTACCACTTCATGTTCAGGTATCCAGTCTTTAACTATTAGTTGCTTGTGGGGTCTCTAATTACAAGTTCCCTAATTTGGGTTAACATGATTAGCAGTGACGCTCATCTTCTTCCCATGAGAGTTAAAAACAAAAAACAAAAAAACAAAAAAACAAAAAAATTGAATGAAAGTATCTTCAGCTAAAGGCGTCTTCGTCTTCAAAATTTTCAACAGAAGAAGAATGTAGCTTCAAGGGCACTGGACGGGTGGAACTGATGAAAAATGAGATCAAGAACAATGGCTCCTTTTCTGTGAATGGTCCAAGGGAACTTTGGCCTAGTGTATCCAACTATGCTCTCCAAGTCTCTTCATCAAATGATAAAAAATCACCCGTGGCTTTCCTATACTTTCTTGATTCTGGTGGTGGTTCCTACCCAGAAGTCATTTCCAGTGACCAAACAGAATGGTTCCGGAAGAAAGCTGAGGACATTAATCCTGAGTCTAGGTAAAACCAATCAGTAAGAGATGTGATGAATTTCTTATTCATTTTCCATACTCGTTCTTATCATCCAAATTATTAGCAAAACATTGTCTGACAGGGTTCCTGAGATTATTTTCTGGCACATACCAAGTAAAGCCTATAAAGAGGTGGCTCCCAAGTCCACAATAGCGAAACCTTGTGTGGGTTCTATCAACAAGGAAGATGTTGCTGCTCAAGAATCTGAAACGGGTATCATGAAACTCCTTGGGAAAAGAAGCTCTGTCAAGGTAAGACCAAACCAACAAGCTATATGTAAACCATGCAGCCAATCGTTGTAAGCAAAATCAGAGTCGGATGATAGTTTGACTTCAAATATGATTAGATGCGTCTGCAACTGCTGTATGATCTAGTTTGCATGGTAATATAGGCATTGTGAAAATCCTCTAAACATTCCTGTTCATAGGTAGAATTTTTGAGTTAGAAAACTCTCTGGTTGAATGAATTTGCTTTGATGGACACAAGCGGCCGGCATTGAGTAGGTTTTAATTTGTTCAACTGCAGGCAATATTTGTTGGGCACAACCATGGATTGGACTGGTGCTGCCCGTACAAGAAACTATGGCTATGCTATGCTAGACACACTGGCTATGGTGGCTATGGAAATTGGCCAAGAGGAGCTAGAATTGTGGAAATCTCTGAGAAACCCTTCTCTCTTCGATCCTGGATAAGGATGGAGGATGGCAATGTTCACAGTGAAGTTGTTTTGAGCTAGAAGTCCTGGCAATATCTTCCATCGGAGAAAACACTCAGAGAGAGTAAATGTTTTTATGCGTTTGTTCTGTGTGCTTATGTTTGTCTTCAACTAAGTTCTCGTTCTTTTTATTGATTAACAATAACAAGTGGGGAAGTAGATAATATTAATACCCATTTCTTCACGTGATTCTCCTTGATTTGAAGAATTCGTCTGTAATACTAATGAAATATAAACACGCTCGAGAATATTGAGAGGCAAGTAAAAAAAAACTTCAGAAATGAGAATATATTAACAAATATTTAGCCAGAACATAAAACTTAAACTTTAACGTAATTATTTAGTCAAAAAAACAAAAACTTTAACGTAATTTTTTTAAAAAAAAAATGCATGACTGGTTGGATCATTGATACATTATGCTCAGGCTCGTTAGTCATCGCCAATTTCAAGTAAACCATTGAGGACTTATCCTGTTCTTACACATGAATTTTTTCCCCATTTCAAACACTTTGGATTGTTATGACTAAAGAATTTTGAGACTTATTATACATCTTTACACACGCTCGCTCTCTCTCTCTCTCTCTCTCTCTCTCTCTCTACACACACACACACATTATATATTTTTTTAATTTTATTTATAAGTTACTTCTAACATATTTTACTTGAATTAAGGAAAATTTTCAAACTAATTTTACCTCTATTAAATATATATATATATATATATACACATACTTTAACATACATTTTTCTCTTCAACATTAAATGGAGGGGTAAAATGAAGAATTTGCAATGAAGTTTTTTTGATGTAAGTTACGACTAGAATCCTAGAAAATCTTCTTTATCTACCTTATACTCTTCTAATTTTATTTATAAATCACTTTCAATATATTTTACCAAAACAAAATAAAACTTTAAGACTTATTAACCTTGTCTATAAATTTAATAATTTCTCAATTTTGTTGCTATCAAAATAAGCATATTTTAATAATATATTTTTTTTTCAACATTTAATAAAAGGCAAATGAAAAAATTTGTGATAAAAATTTAATAAATTAACTTACAAATAAAATCAAAAAAAAAATTCTCTCTCTCTTATAAAAAAGACCAGTAGGAGTTTATAGGACCGGAAGGAGTATAACAAAAATGTAACTCCCCACTAAAGCAAAAATTATATTTTATCTGTTTTAAATTATAAAAACACTTTTAAATAAAATTATATATTAATAAAATTTATTAAATATATTTATAATTTTATTTTCTTTAAAATAAAAATATAAACTTTTTAAAATATCTTCATTTAATATTTCATTTAAAAAATATTAAATAGATACTCTCTGTCTTTGTAATCTATATATATATATATGTTTTTTAACCAGCAAAACAATAAAATTTGATTATTTACTTGAAAGTATAGCAATTTGCCCCCATCAATTTTTCAAGAAAAATGAATCCTCGTCATCCAACATAGTAATCTATTATCACATTAAAACCTCTAACCAATAAAATTAAATCCTCCACGAAGAAGAGACCTGACGAAGAAAGAGAAAATGATAGGATGATAAAGTATCGATACTATGCAAACAAGATGAACCAATAAGAAATCAGGTTGTTATATCTCACCGATTAATACAATACGTAGCTTTTATTCATTTTCAAGACAGAATAAAGATAAAGTTGTCCATTTATTAAAAATATTTTGAGAAATCTTATATTTAGAAATAAAAAAAATTCCTAACTAATATCTTATACATTAGGACGGATGGAGTAGAATATAATAAAAAAAATTATATTAAAAAAGTATCAATGATATAATTTTATTTTTATTAAAGTATTTTATATCAAATCTTTTTCAAAAATATTTTATAATGTAGGGTAGGGGAAGTATACATAATGTGCATAAATATAAATCATGATAACTAGCTTAATGAAAAAAAATTATACAAAATAGACTGATAATCTTATATTTAAAATTAAAACATTTTCATCAATTAAATTTTTTATTTAAAATCGAAGGGAGTGTAATAAATAAGGCACATTTTTATAAATATGGAATTGAATGTGTTGTCTCTTGAAATGCCTCTCATAAATTTAGGAGTTGAGTAATTATTGCTCAACTAGAACTACTCTAAATCTCTAGTAACTCTTTTGATATGTGTCCATGATCTAATTCCTTGCCTATATTGAGTAACTGAAACTGAAGTTTGCGTGTATTGTACTCTGAGAGAGAGAGAGAGAGAGTGTGTGTGTCTGTGTGTGTGTAAATGATAAGAAATTTTAACCAGAAATTGACTACCCATAGGAGTAACAATAATTATTTATTAAGCTCAAAGACTGCGGCCAACTATAATGACCTACTGAAAAATCAAAATGATGTTATGGTCAATGCATGGGTGCGCAAATTTTCATCGTTTCTTCTGCTTCTGCATTTCCCTTTGTTGTGGGGTTATGGATACTTGTAAAAGCCAGTGGACGCATTTGCCCTTGTTCTTTCTCCCTCTGCTGTTCACCGTAGGATCAACCGATCAGCACAAAACACCGCGAAACGTCAGACTGCTGCCAGATTCGAGGCCGGAGAGGTATCTCCAACTCTCAGCAACTGGTGCGCCCTTTAAGATTGCTCTTTTCCCCGACTTGCATTTCGGAGAGGTCGCGTCCACCGATTGCGGCCCACTTCAGGACGTAAACTCCACCAGAGTCATGAATCAAAAGTGCTGCATGATGAAACTCCACCAGGTCTTATTTTCTGAACAATATGTGAAGGGTTTCATACACTTCAAGATAACACACACCGCAGTGAAGTTAGTTTATATTTTTCAAAATTCTTCTGTACCCACAAGTAATGAAGTTAATTTTCTGTTCACAGATTTTGCAATATATCTCGGGGATGTCATTACGGCTAACGCTATAGTGACTAAAAATGCAAGCTTGTATTGGGATCAAGAAACCTCTCCAACAAGAAACAGGGGTATATCAGGGGCAAGCGTGTTTGGGAACCATGATGACGCTCCATTTGATTGGTCATTAGACTGGTTCTCTCCACCTGGAATCCCCCCAATTCACTGCATTCCACCCACTACTTCATATTCAGGTGTTAAAGTCGTCAACTATTACATACATTTTGAAGGCTATAATCTTTGTTATGATTGGGTACCTTTTCATATAAGATTCCTGAGGTCGAAAAGCTTATTGTAATCGCTAATCAAAGTCAAAATTTCTAATTTAGTGGAAGTAATCTATGTCCATTACTGGAACATATTTAATAGTTATCCAACCCTCTTCTTACGAGAATAAAACCATGTGAAGGTATCTTCAGAAGGCTTCTTTATCTTCAAATTTCCAGGGGAAGAATGTAGCTTCGAGGGAACTGGACGGTTGGAACTGATGAAAAATGAAATCAAGAACAATGCCTCCTTTTCTGTGATTGGTCCTAAAGATCTTTGTCCGAGTGTATCCAATTATGTCCTCCAAATATCTTCATCAGATGATCCAAAATCACCAGTGGCTTTCCTTTATTTTCTTGATTCTAGTGGTGGTTCCTATCCTGAAGTCATTTCTAGCACCCAAGCAGAATGGTTCAAGAAGAGAGCAGAAGACATTAATGCTAATTCAAGGTAGAAACAGAGCATAGCTTCGATTTCTTTTGTTGATTCTGTCATTAAAGACAACATGTAAGATGTTGAAAACACTAAAACAACATTTTGAAATTTCTGTTTCATTTCCCACAGTTGTTCTTGCCATCCAAATTAACAAAGCATCGTCTGACAGGGTGCCTGAGATTTTATTCTGGCATTTATTTACCAAGCAAAGCTTATAAAGAGGTGGCTCCCAAGTCCACAATAGCCAAAACTTGGGTGGGTTCTATCAACAAGGAAGAGGTTGCTGCTCAAGAAGCTGAAATGGGTATCATGAAACTCCTTGGGGAAATAAGTTCTGCAAAGGTAAAAGCCAACAAAGCTATAAATAAGCAAGATCAGAGTTGGATTGGATCACAGTTTGCCTTAAAATGTATGACTGATATGATATGTGCTATAATATGATATAGTCTGAGTTTTTACATTGGAATTCCTTTCAAAATTCACGTTCACACTGGAGAATTTTCGAGCTTGCACAATCGAACGATTCAATTGATTTGTTTTGAGGGACACAAGTTGGTACGGTTAAGGCGTGTTCCTTTTTACAACTTCAGGCAATATTTGTTGGACACAACCATGGTTTGGACTGGTGGTGCCCATACAAGAAACTATGGCTCTGCTATGCCAGGCATACTGGCTATGGAAATTGGCCAAGAGGAGCTAGAATTGTGGAAATCTCTTGAGAAGAAGCCCTTCTCTCTTCGATATTGGATAAGGATGGAGGACGGTGATTTTTACAGTGAAGTTGTGTTCTCTGGACAGAGTGAAGCTGTCTTCTCTGGACACGAGAGAACACTTACAAGACTACATACGGTTTACTTTTGTATGCTTTTATTACACGTATTTTTCAAGAAACAATGTCGAATGGGGATGCAGATAATACCCAACTGCTTATATATATACTTCTCTTCTTTTGGTCTGAAGAATTAAATTTCGCCATCCTTCATGATATCTGGCAACATGCTATAAAATACTGATGAAAAAGGAAAAAGAAGAATTTGTACGAAAAATGTCCTTTTTTTTTTTTTGTGTGCGCGTGCGTGCGTGTCTATTACTTTGATAGAATCTTCGATCTTGTTTGTCAATTGAATACAAACTTCGTGAAGATCTACAGCATTATTATTATTATTATTATTATTATTATTATTATTTATTATTATTTTGATGAAACTGCGGCATTCTTTTTCATGATAGCAATACGTAAGAAAGTCAATTTATAATGCAAAAGCCTCTCCTATGAAATGCTTGGTTCTTTGCTTGTTTGGCCGCTCACTTCTCTCTCTCTCTGTCGAAAACACTTGGACCGCTTGACGTGTGGGAGGATCATTATTCTCAATACCAACATGACAGTCGAACATGGAGTGATTGGCCGCTCATTATATATCAACTAAAAGCAGAGAGATTGTAAAACAAAACTCTAAAATATGCTTAACGATAATAAACTACATACTTTTTTAAAAAATACGGAAGAGATAAACAAACCACTGCACCATATCTACCTTATAGAACCAGGCCTGCGTGTGTAGTTGCAGTGATTTCTTTCTCAAAGCGATAGAGCTGTCATATATGAACGTCGATTTTAATATCCAACAAGCTTACGCGGACTGACTGAAAGTGACGATTGGTTGACCCACATGCAATTTGAATTAGCTCAAGTATTGATCATTACCGTTGAAAAGAAGTGTTACTTTTTTTTTTTGGCAAAGAAATGTGTTAAATTAGGCCAATAACTACAAGTAGACTAATGATCTTTAATTAGTCGTTGAAGACATAATTCCAGAGAGTTTAATGAACTTTGCAAAGAAAATAGCCCAAATAACTCAGCAATCACCGGATTTGAGAACTGTGGATTAGAAAAACGTTACAATTGCATTAATTAGGGGATGCTTTTAGATAATTCTAACCAAATCAAACTGTGCCTCTACAAATAAGCCCTGCTCTTAAGTTGATCTGCAATATAGCAATGCTTCCTGGCATCGTTCAAGATCATCAAGTCATTGAAGCAGAAATAAAGTCATCCCTTTTTTTTTGTTTTGCCTTATTGGCGGAGAAAAAACAGAGACATCAGTCCTGAAAAATGAAATTTATGGAATTCAGTGCCTCATGACTTTTCTTGGACACCAAACAGCCACAGAGCCACGTTACCCTCACTCCTGTTGATGGACCACTCTAGACGCCAGAAAGGTTCCCGCTTCTAAAGAGGTCAGAAAACCTGCTCGCATCAATTACCGAAGAGAGGACTGGGGATAAAGTAAATATATAAAAATTGAATTCCAATGTTCATTGCCGAAGCACAATCTTCTTCATCGCATTGCAGAAACGTGAATTCGAGTTCTTCAACAGGAAAATCAGATCTTCGATGAACAGCTTATAAGTTAAATCATATGGATGCTTCGGTGGTTCGAGTATTTATTGAAATGCCGACTCTATGGCAAACATTAATTGAGGTAAATCGGTCGCTGTCTTAATCGGGTCGCTCTCAGTTACAATTCTACAAATTTTCATCCCAGATTCACATGGGAATTTAAACCCTTATCCACAAATCCATAGCGAAAGGATCATGCATATTGTAACTTGCATGGAGCAACAAGAAGCATGTCCCTATACCTACGGAACAAGTTCATAAATAGATTGCCATATATTCCATACTTCCCAAATTATAAAATACTTTTTAAATAAAATCTTATATATTAATAAATCTTATTAAATATACTTAACAATTTTATTTGTTTTAAAATAAAATATAAATTTTTAAAAATATCCTTCATTTAATAATTTTAAATCTACACTTAATTAATATCAAATAAAAAAAGAGAGAGGATAATATTAGAATAAATTTATTTAATAAAACTTTAATTTTCTTAGAGTATTTTATATTTTAAGACAGTAAATTTTTTTTAAAAATATTTTATAATTTAAAACAGAGGGAGTATTTTAATTGGGCATGCAAAGAAATGCGAGCATCAATTTCCATTGAGAACATAAGATGAATTTGTTTTCTTCATGAAATAGGAGTGGTTTATAGGAGGATCGCAGTCAACTCAAATTTAATCAGAGCAATTCTAATTAGGCGCGTTTAAATAACTAATTCCCTTCAACTAATTATCGCAAACATTCAAAAGGCTTTTAGGAATTTGATCGCCCAAGTTCAAAAGCAGTGTTAGGTTTGCTTCTATTGCGAAGGGACTAGCTAAAGTGCTTCTGCATTGACCTCAGACCACCTAATCGCAAATTTGTAAAAACAACACATTGTGGAATAGGTGTACATGATGTTACCGACTCAGAATTACCGCCACTAGTTCTAACAATATATAATTTAAAATATTATCAAAATATTGTTGGGTTGACGTTTATTCCAACTAAATTGATCATTCTTTATAATTAACAGAGTATAATGAGGCGAAAGCGCATTTGATTGCAGTAAATTCAAACTGTACTATTCCATTTTCTGTTGTACTAATAATAATAATAATGCTGTTGATATGATGGATAGCTCCCTGCTTTTCCGGAGGGAACGGAAGGCGAAAATCGAAAGGGTCACGTTAGTAAGTTTGACGAAAGCAGACATTTGCAGTGGACCGTAGCGGTTGCAAAAATTGACATATGGAAAAAGATGGGGACAAGAGGGACCCCATGAAGTTGAATTAACTTGCTTTTTAGTCCCCAGTCATGAAACGGAGGCCAACTGCATTTTTCCACATCATTACAGCAGTCATTGCTGTGCCTCTTGCTATGCATTTCTTGCTTCCATATTCACTTTTATGAGGACCATGTCAATGGTACTCAAAAGTGAAAAAAGAGAATTTCATGAAAAAGCCAAGATTTTAATGGCACAAAGAAGAGACCCTCTTGGAGAAATGGTCAGCAATGTCTAGTACAAGCTGTTGGGGTGCTTGGTATTTCATAGAGTAAGTGTCTATTGGGTTTCTGTCAATTTATGGCCATTCTTCTCTTGGTCTAACTAAGCCTGCTGTTTTTCAGGCATTCTGTGCAGCATAGTTCATTGTTGTTCACTGGCCTTGGAAGAGGTTAGTCTAGCAGAATGGTCTGTTTACTTTTTTCAGATTTTATTGACATCTTCATGCTTTAATTATACCCTTTTCTGAGGTGCACTTTCTGTGTTTGATTCAATGCCTCTGCTGTTCAGAATTTATTCCTGTGTACTGCTAGGCCATTAAATGACTGTACTAAGAAAGTTTATCAGCGTTTGCATTCACAGTTCATGTTGACAAAAGAACAGCAGAGCAGGAGGAGCATATAGAGTAGAGTAGAGATTATTGAAGCATTTTAATTACTCTCCGGAATCATAAAATCATGTACATATCGCCTTCTAGAAATTCTACAGCTGGCTTTGCTCCTCTTTCTGAAGCATCAAAGTATAGGATGTGCCTGAGTAGAGAATGGTGTTTGGAGTATTAGGTTCATAAGATGCCATAATTCTTCATGGCAAAGTGGAGCTGCTGGTTTGGATGTGGCAAGAAGCACTCAACTTGTGAGTCAAAGCCCAAAGTAAGAGGTGTCCGAGAAAGCTTATATACAGAATACCGTTGCTTAGCACTACCCTTTTGATTGATATCTCTTTTATATGTAATCTCAGAATTCAAAGAGATGGAGTTGTGGTCTTGGGGGGGTCAAGCAGAAACAGCATCCCACACTTACAGGACCAAACAGAACGCTTAGTGAAGCGAGAGAAGAACAGAGAAAGCACGCAATGACAGTGGCTGTTGCAACAGCAGCAGCTGCTGAGGCTGCAGTTGCTGCTGCTCATGCTGCTGCTGAGGTTGTCAGGCTCACAGGTGCTTCCCGCTCCTACTCATATCTCTCCAAGGGAAACCGAAACTTGGCCGCTACTAAAATTCAAAGTGCATACCGTGGACATCTGGTAAGCTTCCTCAGAACTTTTAACTATGACCAGTGTATAGTTTCTATTTGCATATTCGACATCTGGCGAGCTTACTCAGAACTTATGACTATTATTAGCGTATAGTTTCTATTTGCATATCTCTAGCTTGGAGAGGTTTACACTTTAAAGATGAAATAAACCAAAAAAAAGATAGTGGTTAAAAGTTCCAGTCGGAATGAACTGCTTTTAGTTTTACTCCAGTAACCAGAAATGTTCATTCATGCAAGTAGCAATTAATGAATAGATTGCAGCTACAAAAGGTTAGGTGCATCTAGCCATTGCTAGAACTGGACTGATTAGTCTGGCTTTTGCTTCCAAACTTATCGCTGGTGCCCTATCAAAATTCTGTTAAAAATTGATTTTTTTTTAAATAACTTCAAAAATTTGCCAGCACAAATTTCATTTTAGATGGTGTATTAATAAGTACTGTAATCATCTGGCTTTGGTAGTTATTCCTGATTTTACAAGTCATGTCCCCTGTTCTCAAATTTATTCAGTCAAAATATAGTTGATTGTTCGGGTGAATTTAAGTCAACTGTGGACATAATGTATATTATAAACACGTTTACAAACTCAGTTGAACTCTTAGCTGAGAATGAAATAGGCCAGGAAAGCATTCAGAGCACTGAAGGGAATTATCAGACTGCAAGCTATAGCTCGCGGTCGGGCTGTGAGACGTCAAATGGGTTTGCTTTCCAACGGAAGAAAGCAGGTAGGAATCCAGAAAATCAGCAGCCATGCAGCAGAAGGAATCAACAAAAAAGAAAAGAGCAAGCTGCTTCTTAAGAAGAAAACGAAGTTGGAAGATACGGACATGAAAGTGAGTATACATGCAGACAACATTAACATCAACATCAATATCCCAGAATAATCTTTAGTGTTGCATTTCCCAAAATGGGAAAAGTGTCAAGTAACTAATGTAACAATGATTTCTAAAGATTTCCACTGTTTCAATGGTTCAACTCAAATTATAGTTGTTCCCTAGACCCTGCTGAATAGCATTATAAGCCAATAGATCAAATTCCCTTTGCTAATTCTTTCAAGAATTTGATTACAGCCTGAATGCCATAGTCAAAGAATTTGGGATTGCAGCTTACACTCAAAAGAAGACGTTGAAGCTATATGGTTGAAAAAGCAAGAGGCTATTATTAAAAGACAACGCATGAAGCAGTACTCTTTCTCACATCGGGTAACCTCATTTGATATATTTCCTGTCTTAGCAAGACCTCTTGCTGATAATTTAGTCAAATCCAATTTGTATCTAAGAATTTCCATGCAATCTTCTTCAGGAAAGAAAATTTTGCCACGTTGGGGTTGAATCTGTTCCCCATATGGAATTTAGAGGGGAGAGCTGCCGTACTCTAGGACAATGGCTGGACAGAGAAAAATGTAATGGAGATGTGTTTTATAAAACAGCAATTCCTTCAAACTTGATCGCGAGGGAATGGTACGATACAACACAAGTAGCAGAGAAGAATGTGAAAATAGAAGAACACTTGCAAGAAGACGAATTGAGTACAGTCACTTCACAGCTTTCATTTCCCAGGAGGTCATATTCTTGGGTGAAGAAAATTTCAGTTGCAGATGAAAGTTCCATGCAAAGTTCCCCAGTTTTTCCAACATTTATGGGCGTGACAGAACGTGTGAGAGCAAAAGCAAGGTCCATGAGCACTCCGAGGCAAAGAGCAGGATTTCTGGATTTATGCTCCGATCAGACAGATTGTAAGAGTGACGGCAGAACTTTTAGGTCTTCTTGTCATGAAGCATCTACAAGCGCCAATGAAGAAAATGAAATTTCTCAGCAGAGATGTCAGGGTGTCAAGTACCGCTTGTATCGTTAGAAGCTGGTCCGATGCATGTAATGGCGAGGAATTGGAGGGTGAATGGCAAACTTGCTCGGTTTATTTTATGGTGCCCAAGACGGAGACACGCACCGTTGAATCTCTGGCTTCGCGCTTTGCAAGTACATACATGTCAAGTGCTTTTTGCCCGCCCATTATGTGTCATTGAATATTTCTTTTCCTCCTAGTTCGGTAAGGAGATTTTTTCTCTCCTTCTCTCTCTCTAGAAGAGAGATAGACTTATCTATCATTGGGTCAACTATATTTTGGGCCCATATATTTTATCTGCAGTGAAAAATTAATCTTGTTTTAACTTTAAAATTAAAATATAGTTTATTTCATGATATAATTTTTAGTCCCTAAATCTTGTTTGAACTCGAGTTAAGAGAGTAGGCGGAGTGAGTTGTTTAAAATCAAAATTCAGGAACTACGAACAAAAAGTTATGTTCATTTATTTTAAAATTAAAATATAGCTAAAAAAATTATCAGCCAAAGTCTGGAAGGATTACAGTACACAATGGTATTCACATTCCGTGCTCATCAACTTTTGGGTTGATTTGAGCCACTCATTTTGTCTATGAATGATCCATGCCTTTATTTTAAATTAATTTTTAAGTATTTTTAATATCTTATTTAGTAAAATAAAAATATATAAAAATTGTAATATTAAATTTGAATTGTCTTTAGTGCTCATCTAGGGATAAGTATTGTAAAATCTTGAACAATTTAATTTAAAGTTAATTGGGTAATTAAAGATAAATTAAACAATTGAAAGTTAACTCGGATTAAAAGATAATATACGGACGACTAATAAGTTTATCGGACCCTTAGAATTGGACTCTAAGTTACATTGGGTCACATTTGGGCCTAATTAGATGGACAATATTTAAAATATAAAATTTTGATCCTTGGCCATGGCCAAAGGTTTATTGGCTGCAGCCAAAGCTTAATTTTTAAGCTTTTCGATTCACATTTCATTTCAAAAAATTAGAGAGTTAAGTGAGAGTTTTGAGATGAATGAAAAGGGCTTTGCTAGAATTTGTTATGGGTGTTTAATTGAGTTTATTTAGATCTTTTACTCACTTGAGTAAGTGCCTACAACTTCTTCTCTTCCTCTCTTGTGTCTTTTCATCATTGTTTATGCCTAGTTCTTTGAGAATTCGAAAATGGGTTGTGACTTTACCTAGAATTCTAACTTCAATGGGATTAATGGATGTTTATTTAAGTATCTAACTTTTGGGTTATGGTGCTAATGAAGTTTTAAAATTTCAAAGTAAGGTTTGAAGTAAACCTTAGAGCTAATTGATGGTGAGCTAAGAAGGTTATGAATTATTAATGGTGTTGATTAGACTAATGAAAATCTAAGTGAATTAATGAAACCTAAAAATGGATTTGATTGTGGGTAGATGACCATAATGAAATTTTTAGGTATAGGTTTTGGTTAGAGTTAATTAAAGATAATTAGTTATTAATAACTATTGATGTGTTTGATTATAAATTGACCATTGTTGGTGCTACTGAGCTTATTAGAGGCTCCGTTTGATACTCATAGGTACTCTTGGTTAGTAAACCAAGAGTTGAGGTAATTGAAAATTTAAATATAGTATATTATTATGTCTGCATTTACACTTTAAACATTATTATGAATGGCTTGAAATGAGCTTATGGATGAATATATTAATTTTAAATTATTACCTAAATATAAAACATGACTCATTGTGATGAAATGTTTGGTGATTATATTTATATAGATGTTAAGCTTAGATTACCTATGAAATGAATGTGTTAACATGATAAGTGATTGTAATTGATGATGTTGGAAGAGATGTGATAAACATGCATGCTTGTGATGAAATGCTTGATAATTATATTTATATAATGTTATTTGATATTTGAAATATAAATAGTAGGTTTAGGTTGGCTATGAGTTGATTATATTATGAGTTATTGTAAACTATAATGTGGTATAAACTGTGATAAGCACACAAGTTCTAGAAATTATGAGGATGATGGATTACTATGATATACATGAGCTTATATTCACATTTCTTAATTAAATTTGCATAATCATAATGGGTGAGAGTTCACCCTAGTATAGTAAAGGGATTATAATAGAAAATTTACATGGTGTAGCCTCCATTGAGTTTGTGTACAATGGTTGGTATACTTCATTATTATATATGCTTAGTATTGCCAATAACCTACGGGTGCGGCATGGATAGAACATTTTGCTTAGTATCACTGATCCTGGATTAGACAGTGTAGGTCAAGCATTTATGACACCCTAAATTTTGAGTAAGGGGAATTCATAGTCTGAGAGTGAGTGTGGGAGCCTTTAGTCAGGCGACCCTTCACAAATGGCGAGTGAGGCTAGACCAATATGAGATAATAACCCATGGATTCAATCAGATGATATAAGGAGTGATATAAGGCAGTTGCATTTGATCATGTGAAACACATTATAAAGATGCCTTGTCAATAATGTTAGTTTGCCTTATGTGATGTTAAATACTTAAGTGTTGTGATTGCTACACTTTAATATGCTTGATTAAATTACTTAGTTACTAAGATATTTATCTCACTCCCATAGTTTAATTTTTACAAGTGACGATCAAGCTAAGGGTAAAAGGGAGGCCTCTGAAGTTAGAGAATGAGTAATCAATTTTAATTTCTCTAATTTATCTTTTATGTGTAATTTGAATATAACATTTGCTAACTAAGGGTCTTTCATATTGACTTATGTTTATTTGAAGTCCACTTGCATTTGTAGCTTTAAATATTGAATTTAGTCATTTTTGGATTGTCTTAGCTATAGTATGGTCCAAAACCCTAATTTGGCTATAGTAGTATACCAAGATAGTTTGAAAAAATCTATTTTGACTAGTTAAATGAGTTTTTATGTTTTGGGTGATTATTTAGTTTAAATGCAAATGATTACATTTTCACCCCCTTGTTATGTGTTTTATGATGGTTGGGCAGTCAATTCTTCTATCAGGAGTTGTTTGATGCTTGTGACTATTTGGATAAGTTTATTAGAATTTATTGAGTATGATTCAAACCCTTGTGAGGGCTAATGGCTTATGGTGTGAGATTTACATACTTGGTTAATGGTTTTAGAGGCAAAAATGTGAAATTGTGATTCGGGTGTCTAAATTCTTTTTATGATGTTGGATTGACATGAAACCAAAACTATTAGCTAAATTATGAAACTTTTGACATGTGAGCACTTGAATCATCTCAATCAGAGATCTAAATCAAAAGTTATACATGTCAAAAGTTTGTGATTAAGTAGTTGTTATGACAGTTGCTGTCATGACATCTTTGGCTATAACTTATAAATTTTTAGCTACAGCCAAATGAGTTCTTGAAACTATTTAGTAGTAGCCAAAAGATAATTAGCCATGGCCAAAACTTTACTGAAAGTATTGGCCGCAGTTTAATGTTCTATGGTCGCAGTTTAATGCCTTTGTTAAGCAAAAATGACTATTTTTACCTCATGTTGACTTATTTTCAACTCTAATTATTTTTCGTGCTTCTTAAATACTTTTTACTCTAATTTATAATGGCTAAATGACTTTTTAAACTTAATTTTAAGATTTAATGATTTATGAGCTCCCATCTTTATAGAGTTTTCTTACTTAGCCTTTTTGAATTTTTATACAGCCAAGGTTGATCATTTTCTTTCCATAATATCTTTTATTATTAAATTAGTTATAAATATTATGATAGCTCTACTTTAAGATTGAGGATGTGCTAATTATGTGTTTAAGAATTGGAGGTTTTACTAGTATCATGGTACTCCTCAACCCTGATGAGATCTATATTATCCAAGATTTAAAGCTTTTTATTTTATTTTATATTTATTAAAATAAAAATTTATAAGTTTTAATAAATATGTTCATTATCAATTTAAACAACACAAATTTAATCTGGATTATTTAATTTGATATCAATTTTTTTTATAATTTTACAAATTGATTATTGAGATGTGATTTAGATGGTGTAACAAACTTGATTTTTATCACAATTTTTTTTATGAAAGAAAACCTCCCCCCTTTTTTCTTTATAAATAAATATTTTTCTTAAAAATATACCTTTTTAAACAAAATGACATTGAGATTAATAATTACCACTGAGCTTAGGGCAAATGAAGTCTAATAAATAATTTGCAGCAAGTTCAGGTTTCAACAACAGTTTATAAATATAATCAACTCTACTAAGCACATATTTTTTTACCATTAATATGTATAAACTAAAATAAATGGGCTTGACCCAATAGAAAATCATGGTCCAAATCGATATGTTGAAAAGATATCCAATTCAAACAAAAAGATTAAGTAGTTATAGTCAAATAACTTATAACAATTATTCAAAATAAAATTTATAAAGGGTTCCTAGGTCATGGCAACTATAATTACAAAATAAACAAAAATCCACTTGCTAAGCCGAGAGAAGGGAGCCCAAGCTCACTTATTCTGTGCCCTCCTTATAGCTCCATTTGACTGCTCAGCTAAAAATAATAAAAAGTAACACGTGAGATCAAAATCTTAATAATAGTGGGTTATTCTAACGTATACTAACATACTTTTTGAAACCGATTCGCAAACATATCTATAGATATACATATTTATTTCACAATTAATACACAAAAAAAGAAATGCAATATTCACAATTATATAACAATTTTTTAAATTAATATCAAATTAAAACAACAATGATATATTTTTCAACCTCACTCTTATGGCTCCCAACTCTCTTATTACCACTGGCTAGAGCTTAAATTGATATTATATTCGGCCAAAGGTACATTGTCATCAGAATAAGACTCCCCTCCTTAAAAAGGAGGTGCCTATCGTTCTAAATTGTCAAAGACATTAGGAGCTATAAGAAAAAGGCCAACAATTATGCACGTAGCGGAGGCAAACCACACGGCATAAATATTCAATCATTAATCCCAAACAAACAATTATCTTACTCGCCATCCTTATTATTTGTTTTGCATCACATAAAACAAATGTTACATTTTACAATAAGATCACACAAGTATTAATATATATTCATATATATATATATACAATAATAAAAAATTAGTATCTCAATATATGAAAGGATATTTTAATATTACCTCTTTTCAAGCTATAACTGGCTCAAACGTATAGGAAACTTTTAGCCACAATAACAAATTAATTTACAACATCAAATGATATAAATGTCATTATATATATATATATATATATATATTGTAATTTATTAATTAAATATAAAATTCAACTAAATTTCTCAAATTCACAACCATATCCTTCCAATATAAATCCCTTCGATAAAAATCAAAAAATTAATTAAATTAAC